ATCTGACCAGTGCCTCCCTTCCGACTACGATTGCGCCTCTTCCGCCTCTCACTCCTCATGCTCCGCTGCGCCCTCCATGTGCTGTGGTTTCCCCTCTCGCGGGGGTCATGGCGTTCCGCCCGCCGCGTCCGGCCTCTCGCGCCCTTCGCGGCGGCAGCCACGGTGTGTGTGGTGCACCGTTGCGCGTCATAGCCGGTCGTCCCCAGACGATTCGTTGGGCACGTGTACTACTGCGCGTTTTACAGCGTGTTTCTTGCGGCGCGTTTCCTGCTCTGCAGGTACGCACAGCTTCAGTTGTCGCTTCGTGTTGTGCTACGTTTTCCCCCCGTCCCCTGTGTTCGGAGGTGTTTGCCGCGGTCTGGCTGTTGCCTCCTCCCTCTTCGAAGGTGTTGTGTGATGGCGATGGACGCACTTGCGCTTGTGGCAACTGCTCTTGCAGAAGCCAGCCCTGAAGGGGTCCTGGGGAGCCAGGTCCCAGCCCTGCTCCGGGCCGCCTCGGTGCTGGCTGGGCTTGAAGCTTCTTCCCTGCCTTCCCGCGGGCGGCGCAGACTATCACGCCGGGTTCTTGACCCCGTCTATCGCTCCCCCCATGGCCGCGCCCCTGCGTGCTTGCGCCCTTGGCAGCAGCAGACGTTCCAGCGCTCTCAGCGGCAGTCGGCACATCCTCCCTGGCCCGGACTTCGTCCTGTTTCCCTGCCACCGCTGTCACCGCCGCAGCCAGCACAGCCGCCGTTACAGGCTCCGGTGACGCCGCCAGCGCCGCCTCCTCGGTCTGTTCCAGGTCCACTGCCAGTCCCAGCTCCTCTGTATGTGGTGAAGCTGAGCCGCCGCCAAAGGCAGCGTCAAGCCCACCAACGGACACCGGAGCCACCATGGCCACCGCCAAAAATGCATCAGCAGCAACCGCCTCCGGCCCCGCAGCACCAGTAGCCTCAGCCACCGCAGCAACGTCCGACTCAGTCACCGTTGCGCCGTTTCCCACTACCACCGCAGCCGCAACCGCCTCGCCCCCCGACGTCTCCTGTTCCTCCACCATCTCCACAGATGCTGCTATTTCCTCCCACCCCACCAGCTCCTCGTGCTGCTGCTCGTGTAGCCGCGACGCCTCTCCACGTCAAGCAATGCGTAATGCACGTGGGGACGTGCTTGACGCTGCTGTCATACGCTATGGACCAGCTCCACGTGTGCTTGGCACGCCAAGGTGTCGAGGTTGGGGGGATGCTACCGTCAGAGCAGTCAGCGGCGGTGTCAGCGGCAACGGAGATGCTGCATCATCTCCCCCTGATCGGCCTTGTCCCGGGCGCCCCTGGTGCAGCGCTCGGGCCCGGCCCCGGGGCGATGGTGCGGCTCGCTGAGTTTTCCCGTGAGGCCCCCCTCTGCCTTGTATCAGCCGCATCCGTCCTGCGCTGGATGGATGGGAGGCTGTGCTGGATACTTGCCGAGTAGTGGGTGTTTTCCCCTTGCCGGCCCCTTTAGGACAGGCCCTGGCCTTGGGCTTCCCCATGGCCGCTGCTCCTTGCCTGGGGGTGTTGTGTGTTGTATGATGTTGCTACTGGTCCATGGTGTACCATATGGTACTATAGTCCTTGTCTTCACTCTTCCTTGCCACCTCTCACGCGCGGCCGAAGGCCGCGCCTGCGCAAGCCGCCGGATTTGGAGAGTGAAATGAACTCAATAGTGAAGAATGAGCTCACATGGCTAGATCTAGAGACTAAATACTAGGAGAACTGCACTAAAAACGGCTAAGGACTGGATCCTAGAGGAGAGGGGCCTAAAACTGCTAAGGACTGGAACTAGGCCATCTCTCTCTCTCTCTCTCTCTCTCTCTCTCTCTCTCTCTCTCTCTCTTTCTCTCTCTCTCTCTCTCTCTCTCTCTCTCTCTCTCTCTCTCTCTCTCTCTCTCTCTCTCTCTCTCAAGCAGTCATGTATTAATAGGGATCATAAGGTACAAGCAGGACAAGGTGGGGTACTAGACTAGACAAGGCATGTAGGTGAGCGAGCAAGCAACAACTAGGGGCGCCGGCATACTGTCAAACAGAGCAGGCCTGCACATACATTCCCAGCCTGTCTCAGCCATGCCTACACAACCTACAGACTCCCCGCTGCCCCCCGCTCCGTGTCCCACCCCTTACACATCCAACTTGCCTCCTCCTGCCGCTTCCCTTCCCTCTCCTCTCCTCTCCTAGCTCTCCCCCCTGCCGTCACCAGCTCTCCCCACGGCCGTCTAAGCCGCCCTGGCAGGAGCCTCCCGCTCCTCATAGTCGTCTTGTGTCATCTGCCAGAGGTCTCCTAGCCGCGGGGCCCAGGGGTCAGCCACTGCCTGTGGGAACGCCGCCTCTGCTGCCCGGTTGGACTTGGAGAGAAGAGAGATGGCCTGGCTACGCTGCAGCATCACGGACCAGCGCTGGCGGTAGTGGGCATTGAGTCGCTCTCTCTCTCTCTCTCTCTCTCTCTCTCTCTCTCTCTCTCTCTCTCTCTCTCTCTCTCTCTCTCTCTCTCTCTCTCTCAAGTAGTCCTTAATTGATATGGTTATGATTCTGACTCTTCAGAAACATCCTTGGCTGCTGCATCTGTCGTATCTGTTCATGGGGTGCCTGATAGTAGTGGGGAGTGAGACGACTTTCGAATCGACTCAAAAATCACACTGATTCTGTCTGTTCGTGGTTTGACACGACCCATAGAATTGGGGCTGTGGTTGATAATATTCCGGGTAGTGACCGATAATAGTGGGGGCTGTTACAGATAGTAGTGGGGGTTGTGACTAATAGTAGTGGGGGCTGTGACCGAAAAGGGCAGAATGACACATGTTTGAGACGAGTGTGTGAGGAACGAAATTGTTCTTGATCACTTCTAAACATTCCCAGACGAGCAGAGTGGGAAAGGATGGGGCATGTAATGAGAAAATGTGAGAGTGTGGGGGGTTGTGTAAGGTAAAAGGATGAGAGAAGAGGGGCAAGTGATGATCGGAAAGAGGGAAGGGAAAGGAAACGGATGAAAGGGGAGGGAAGGGGAGGGGAGGGGAGGGGAGGGGTAGGGAAGAGTTACCTTGACTCAGTACGCGTTACAGGGTTGCAAAGCGATCTCTGTTATAGGTTATGCGCTGCGTTTTTTGGCATGGCGACAGAGCAGGGTCTGCTGAATCCCAGCATTCGGCTATCAAACCCTGCCGCCCTTTTAGCGTATATCAAGGTCCCCAATCAGGTGGTCATTGTAACAAATGCATACTCTCAGTTATGATAAGGATTCTAGTGACAAATCTGAACATGAAAAAAATGCTAAAATGGATGCGTAAGCCTGCCATTCTTTTACCGCGTATCGAGGTCCCCAGTAAGGTGACATGCCGAGACGCGTTCATTTAGGCAGTCTTTGGTTCAAACAACACTGGAGAGCCACAGCGATGCCCTCGTATAAGTGTCGGTGCTGTCACTGTCAATGAAAACACACCAGATTGTTAAGTAGCATTCATGCTGGTTTCAGGATTTTTTTCTCTCTTGTTCTAGTCGGCCGGTTCTTACCTCTGTCTATCGTTTCTGCCTGTCCGTTCTTTTCTGGCCGTCACAGTTCCCACTTACACCAACACGCCCATACTGTTGCTCAAGGTTAGGAATGTCATACTGGATGGTCCTGATCGCAACAGCAAGGCGTACTACACGTACTTGGACGATGTGGATTGGCTGAACGGTGCAGTGCGGTTCATTGAGGAGGAGCTGCGCAACGGGCGGTACCTGATCGCGAGGGCCATGGAGAATGTGAAGGCAGACTTCCACGGGCTGCTCGCAGATAGCAGATGGTGGGGGGGAGGCTGGATGCGGGGAAAAACAGGTGGGGGGGGGGGGGGTCCCGTTGGGGAAACTGGGCGAGCAGATAGGGGGAGGCAGGCAGATAGGGAGAGACAGGCAGATAGGGGAGGCGGGTAGATAGGGGGAAGATGGATATCAGGTGAAGTGAAGAACCAGGAAGGAGAAGGCATTGATGCTAGGTGAACATGATTAATTGCTGGCGCTGCACTTGGCTCAAAATTGCAGCCAGACTATTTAGATGGATATGCACCTTATTCCTCCTGATATAGGCCCTCGGGAAAGAGGGTCCCCGGGGAATCTTACGCAGAAAAGGGCCTTTTATAGTGGTCGACATCTGTGAGGACCCCCCTTTCAGTATAGATGTTTGAAGGACCCTTATTTTCTGAATATTGTTCAGCCTTAGCACGTACGTGCCAATTTTTAGAGGGTCAAACATCAAAATCTGACGTGGACTTGGTGTGAGACTCTAAATCTAACATATACAGCGCATCAAAATTTCGACCTCATGCAACACCCTCGCGAGTTCTGCACAAAGCGGGGTTTTGCATGGTACGAGTATACGGCAAGACCTCCCCCCACCCCCCCTCCCCCCCCTCACCTCCCCCCTCTCCCCCTCTCCCCCTCTCCCCCTCTCCCCCTCTCCCCCTCTCCCCCTCTCCCCCTCTCCCCCTCCCCCTCCTCCCCCCCAATTTCAAGTGTACTCCACATATCACAACTCATTAAATTGAAAAAATATATGTACAAGGGTCTTACAGAAACCCGTGCCATTATCATTTATATTCACCCTAGCTTTCTTCAAGAGAGTTGTTGTAAGTCCCCCAGATCCTATATCTTTAGAAATACAGTGTAAGAACTGCAGCTAATGCAAGCTGCGTCTTAGACTATTCAGAAGAATCTTGTCAGTTGTCCTCAGTAAATCAGCTGAGTCTGTGCAGTACCTGTGGGATGTGTAGTGCCTTTGGTGTATGTCAGTAGTTTCAGTTGTCGTAAGGCACAGAGAAGCAACCCGAGCGAGATGTGAACCGTCCAAAGACCACCCGCAGCTGCGCGTGCAGTACCTTTCAGCATTTGAAGTGGTCCTAAGACAAAGGGAAGCAGCCCCCAAGCGTGTTTTGAGCTGTCCCAAATATTACTGCCTGCTGCTTCAGTGGTATCTATTGGCAGTTTGCCTCACAGTGGTCTGTGAAGCAGCCCGACTTTTCAGCATTCAAAAGAATCACTGGCTGCTGCATCGATGGTGTCTGTTTGTGGTGGGATGCCAGTATTGGGGTGTGGCATGATCTGTAGGAGTGACCTCTGGGAGTGCATCTGGGCGAGGCGGGCGGCGAGCAGGTGGGCATCCACTGGCTTCTGCAGCACACCGTCAAACCCCCCTTCTGCACACCTCTGCACCACTCTGCGATCCACGTCTGCTGTCAGAGCCACTATGGGCACCCGCAGAGACCCTACCCACCCACCATCACCTCCAGCAGCAGCAGCAACAGCACCAACACCAGTGCCAGCAGCAGCAGGGTTTGAAGCTTCTAGGAGAGGGATGCAAAGAGCACAAGGGGTTTGCTGCTGCCTTTTCTGTGCCCGTGAAATGGTTTCAAACCTCATCCTCCTCTCAAGAGCTCGTATGGCTGCTGCTGCTGCGAAGCTGCCAAAGCAAGCGGAAAAGGAGGAAGGGAGGAACGTCAAGCAACAGGGACATCAAGTAGCCGGATACAGTTTGCAAAGAGCGAGGTTCATGCAGACGAAAAGTTTAGTATGCACGTTCATGACTCATCCGGTCATGGCCACCACTCACCACTGCTCACAACCACTCACCCATTCATGCCCGGCATCTGCAAGTCCATGAGAACCAAATCGAAGCCATGCTGCAAGGACGCATCCCCCTCGTCCTGCCCTCTCGCCAGCTGCTTCCCTCTCCCTTCCTCCTGCCCTCTCGCCAGCTGCTTCCCTCTCCCTTCCTCTTGCCCTCTTGCCTCCTGCTTCCCTCTCCCCTCCTCTTTCCCTCTCGTCTCCTTCTCCCCTCTCGCCTCCTGTTCCCCTCTCGCCTCCTGCTGCTGTCTTCCCTCCTCCCCAACTGCCTGCTGCCCTCTCTCTTCCTCCTCCCATCCCCCACACCCCACCAACCCAGCAGCGAGCGGGTCAATGGCCTGCTGCCCGTGGGAGGCGGAGGAGACGAGGCCAGCAGCAATCGACTCAATCGCCTCCAGCCCAATAGAGGTGGTGGTGACGAGGGCGCCGCAGCGGGCGAGGGAGCTCTCCTGCAAGCCAGCAGCGATGAGTTCAACGGCCTGCTGGCCATGGGAAGCAGTGGTGACTTGGGCGCCCCAGCGGGCGAGGGAGCGGCGGGCCACGAGGAGGTTGACGGGCGTGTCGTCCACCACCAGCACTCGCAGCCCCCCCACCCACGCCCGCGTCACCGCCTTATCCGCACCAGCGGCAGCAGCAGCACCTGCAACTGCACCTGTGCCTGCACGCATGCCTGCACGCATGCCCATGCCAGCAACAGTGGCCGCCCCCCGAAGACCAGCTCTCCCTTCTCTCTCGATCCTCACTTCCCTCTCTCGCCCCCCTCGCTCATCCAGCGCCCTGCTTCACAGTGCTCGTCGTGGTGGCATGGGTGCTGTGTGGTGTTGCGCGAGTCTCTCTCTCTTTCCTTGCTCTACCCTCGTTCTCTTCTCTCTCATGCTTCTTTCTCTCTCCCTTCGCTCTCCAGACCCGATCAGCTCTCCTTTCTCACTCCGCTCTCCAGACCCGATCAGCTCTCCTTTCTCACTCCGCTCTCCAGACCCGATCAGCTCTCCTTTCTCACTCCGCTCTCCAGACCCGATCAGCTCTCCTTTCTCACTCCGCTCTCCAGACCCGATCAGCTCTCCTTTCTCACTCCGCTCTCCAGACCCGATCAGCTCTCCTTTCTCACTCCGCTCTCCAGACCCGATCAGCTCTCCTTTCTCACTCCGCTCTCCAGACCCGATCAGCTCTCCTTTCTCACTCCGCTCTCCAGACCCGATCAGCTCTCCTTTCTCACTCCGCTCTCCAGACCCGATCAGCTCTCCTTTCTCACTCCGCTCTCCAGACCCGATCAGCTCTCCTTTCTCACTCCGCTCTCCAGACCCGATCAGCTCTCCTTTCTCACTCCGCTCTCCAGACCCGATCAGCTCTCCTTTCTCACTCCGCTCTCCAGACCCGATCAGCTCTCCTTTCTCACTCCGCTCTCCAGACCCGATCAGCTCTCCTTTCTCACTCCGCTCTCCAGACCCGATCAGCTCTCCTTTCTCACTCCGCTCTCCAGACCCGATCAGCTCTCCTTTCTCACTCCGCTCTCCAGACCCGATCAGCTCTCCTTTCTCACTCCGCTCTCCAGACCCGATCAGCTCTCCTTTCTCACTCCGCTCTCCAGACCCGATCAGCTCTCCTTTCTCACTCCGCTCTCCAGACCCGATCATCTCTCCTTTCTCACTCCGCTCTCCAGACCCGATCAGCTCTCCTTTCTCACTCCGCTCTCCAGACCCGATCAGCTCTCCTTTCTCACTCCGCTCTCCAGACCCGATCAGCTCTCCTTTCTCACTCCGCTCTCCAGACCCGATCAGCTCTCCTTTCTCACTGCGCTCTCCAGACTCGATCAGCTCTCCTTTCCCACTGCGCTCTCTTCCCTCGCTCCCTCCCCTTTCTCGCCCCCCTCGCCCATCACAAGCGCCCAGGTTCACAGTGCTCATGGCGGCATGACTGCTCTACTCGAAGCACTCGCAGTAGGAGAATCAGATTCACACCCCTAAGCTTACCCCTTTTCCTCTTTCCTTCTCCCGTTTCTCGCTCTCCCCCATCTCTCTCCCCCCTCTCCTCCTCGCCCAGCCCCCTGTTGCTGTGTGGGCTGCGTGTGGCTGCCCCCCCTGATCACCTCTCCTTTCTCCGCGCCCATCATTCTCCTCCCCTGCTACCTTCCCTCCTCTCGCGCTCACAACGCCCTGGTTCACGGTGCTCGTAATGAGTCGTGTTTTGAGTCGACTCAAAACATGACTCATTACACGTGGTGCTCGTAACGGCGCCCTGGTTCGCGCTCCCCTTTGCAGCGCCATGGTTCACGGTGCTGGTGGCAGCGTGGGTGCTGTGTGCGCTGGCCGTGGCAGCGTGGCTGCTCTACTCGAAGCATTCACAGTGCGCGGATTGCACCCCTAAGATTACCGCGCTTCCTCTCTCGCCTCCCTCTCACCCGCCGCCCAGCCCCCTGGTTCACAGGGCTCGTAACAGCGTGGGTGCTGTGTGGGCCGGGCGTAGCGGCGTGGCTGCTCTACTGGAAGCACTCACACTACGAGAGGCACAGGGAGGAGGCGTTGGTCGTGGCTGGGCTCCCCTGATCCGCTCTTCTTTCTCTCCCCACCCTCTCTCACCGCCCCTCCCCCGTGCAGCCCCCTGGTTCACAGTGCTGGTGGCGGCGTGGGTGCTGTGTGGGCTGGGCTTTTCAGCATGGCTGCTCTACTCGAAGCATTCCCAATACGAGAGCCGCAGGGAGGAGGCGCTGGGCGTGTGGTGCAAGGAGCACGCCCTCATGCTGCAGCAGCTCGTGCTGACCAATGTGGGGCAGATGCAGGTGAGGTAGGAGTGGTGCCAGGTCTCAGCAGCTCGGGCATTCTTACCTCATACAGCGTGGGTGCTGCCCTGCCCTCTACTCTACTCCCCTCATGCCCTCATGCTGCAGCAGCTCGTGCTCACCCATGTGGGCCACATGTAGGTGAGGGTGGCTAGGTGTGGCATCACGCAGGTTACAAGCAACGCGGTTGCTGCTCCCTGCGCTCATGCTGCAGCAGCTTGTGCTCACCCATGTGGGGCACATGCAGGTGAGGCTGGTAGGTTGTTCGACTCAAGTAAGGCTGGGTGCTGCCCTCTACTCTCCTGCCCTCATGCCCTCATGCGCTCATGCGCTCATGCCCTCATGCGCTCATGCGCTCATGCCCTCATGCTGCAGCAGCTCGTGCTCACTCACGTTGGGCACATGCGGTGCAGATGCACATGGGATGGGATGGGAGGCCTACCTCACTTGCACCACCCATGCCCTCCTGTCTTCTGTCCTCCCATCCCATGCACAGACACTCACAGGCATCATATCAGGGATACGCAGGCCGGGGCGGAGGGGCAAGTGGGAAAACTGCACTGTGTTCCACGGTCCACCCACCCACCACATTGAATTCTACTTTATGGTGCTAATGCCCTGTTGTTGTGCTCTTCCCTTCTCCCTGTCCTCCCATGCATGAACGCACAGACCCTCACAGGCATTATCTCGGTGATGGGCAAGCCGGGGCGGAGGGGCAAGTGGGGGTTGGACAGGTGTTTGAACGGCAGCACATGGGAGGCTTACCTTACTCGCACCGCCTATGCCCGCCCGGGCAACACGGGGGCGACTGCTTGTGTCTTTGTCAGGGATGAGGAGAGGTGAGAGGAGGAGAAGGAGGGGGGGGGGAGAGGGGATTGGGAGGAGGGCAACTCGAGGGCGTCGTTTGCGTCTTTGTCAAGGACTAGGAGAGGTGAGAGATGGAGGGATGTGGTGGTTGGTGGATGTGATGTGATATGATGTGATGTGATGTGATGTGATGTGATGTGATGTGATGTGATGTGATGTGATGTGATGTGATGTGATGTGATGTGATGTGATGTGATCAGATGTGATGTGATGTGATGTGATGTGATGTGATGTGATGTGATGTGATGTGATGTGATGTGATGTGATGTGATGTGATGTGATGTGGTGTGATGTGGTGTGATGTGATGTGATGTGGTGTGATGTGGTTTGATGTGGTGTGATTTGATGCTAGGGTAGGTGGATGTGAGGTGATGTGATGTGATGTGATGTGATGTGATGTGATGTGATGTGATGTGATGCTAGGGTAGGTGGATGTGGAGGTGAGGAGGAAATATGGGGGCGACCTCGTGTGACATTGTCAGGGATGAGGAGAGGTGAGAGAGGGAAGGCAGAAGAGTGGAGACTAGTTCGCGTTTGTATAAGCATGAGCCTCTGGAACTGCGCAATGGGGGGAACGACTTTGTGCATCTTTGTCGGGGACGAGGAGAGGTGAGGGTGGAGGGGGGGAAAGGGAACGAAGGAAAGTTCATGTGTGCGCTTGTGGACGAGCATTAGCTCTGAGACTTTTCCACAGCTGTGGTCCTGACGGAATGGCTCGTGGAATACCCATCTACTGCCCACATTCCTCGACTTCTCCCCACTCTTTCTTTGCCCTCCCTTCCTACCTGATCCCACCCGCCCAGCGGTGGGCAACAACAACAAGAATGTCAGCGCTCAGCGCCCCATGTACTGTACTGCCCCTGTCCTTCTCCTTCCTCTCTCCCCAACCTCCACTCCGAACCCTCTCTCCACTTCCCGAACCCTCCCCCCCCTCGCCTCCGATTTCTCCCCCTCTTCCCCTCCATCCAGACTCATCAAAATCGTTCGAGATGTACGATGTCACCGACCCGTCTTCTCTCTTCGCCATCGTCTCACCAGTCCCGCTGCACTACTACTTCCGCACCAACGACGCCCGCCCCTACATGCTGCCCTCTCCTCTCTCCGAAACCCACCCTTGGGAGACACCCGCGGTGGTGCCTCTGGATCAGTTGGGAGCGGGTGTGTGCAGATACGAGGCTTGGTGCAGGTGAGTGAATTCTTATCTTTTTTTTCTTCTTTTTTTTGAAAGGTCCGCATGTTATTTAGTTCCTCTCATCCTTTCCTTTTTTCGGTTACTGTTGTTGTTTTCCCCCATCCCAAGGCACATGTACACGCGCAACCTTCCCTATCTCACACGATATTTGACTATGCCCCTGACCCGAGTTATTAATTATTGTCCTTGCATTATGCTCCTCTGTGTCTGAATAATAGATCTGCACATCCTGTTTTTTTTTCCATCCAAGAACACACGACCCTCCAGTGTGTGGCAATCGTGGGGCATCCCCATCCTCATCGCCCTCTTCTTGTGCCCTGCATGCATAGTAAAGCATTTTCTGTACAAACAACTTTCCTCCTACTCCCCCCTTACCAGGCACACACAGCCTCCCAGTGCGTGGCAATCGTGGGGCATCCCCATCCTCATCGCTCTCTTCGCCCTCCTCCTCGTGCTGCTCGTGCTGGTAGCGGCGCGGATCCAGCGAGCCCAGTTCTTCCAGACGCAGCAGCAGATGGCGGGTGCAGACAAACTGAGGAGGAAGGCAGAAGACGCGGAGGCGTCAAAGAGCATGTTTGTCGCGTGCATGTCTCACGAGCTCAGGACACCAATGATGGGGATCATTGGTACGATCGAATGTCGGTTACATTGTCACGGTTTGTTGTTTTGACTACATGTGGGTTGTCAAACGGTGGTCAAAGAATCTCGCATCCCTAGTTCCTCAAGCATTCATGAGGCTGATGAGCTCATCCATGTCACTTTTTTTATGCCATACAAATTCCTTTCTCCACCCTTCTCTTCCCCCAGGCATGCTCGATGCGCTAGCGGACATGGCTCTCCAACCCCCTGAGCTGTCAGACCTCCTCACGGCACGAGGTTGCGCGATGGATGCACTGCATCTGGTCAACCGTGTATTGGACCTGGCGAAGCTGGAGGCAGGCAAGGCGGTGGCGGATGAGACAGTGATTGATGTGCGATCGTGGCTAGATGCTGTGCTGGACTGGCACGCAGAGGTTGCACGCTCCAAAGGCATCGAGTGTGAGTACACAAAAAAATCCTGGTATTCAAGCTTTGATATGCTTGAAACTAGTCATGTCTAACAAAACAATCATATGGTTTTCCTCTCACATGTGCTCCTAACAATGCTAGTACATTACGTCGTTGAGCTTCCCTTGTTTTTTGCTTACACTACAAAGTCTTCCTTCTTCTTGTCTCCTCCTACTTCAGTTTGTGGCAGTGTGGACAATGATGTTCCAACTTTCATTATTGCCGACCCAATGCACCTCTCCAAAGTTCTCAAGGAAATCACGGGTATGTGGAAGGCATGTGATGAAGGTAGACAAAAGGTTTTCACCGAGTAATATATCTATTAGTACGAGATCAATCGAAGCCCGATTTGTCTCAAACTGGCCAAATGGTCGAACTGGAACCAAGTGAGGACCAAGTGAGGACCCGAGCTAAGCTATGTTGGAGTCGACGTGCCACCTTGTGCGAATGAAAGCTACAACAATATGGATGGAAGATTTACTATAATCGTGTCATTTCGACTGTAGACATCAGCACGAACCGAACCCGAACTCGTTTGTCCCGAGCTTTGACAAGCCTACGGCTTTGTCGAGCCGAACAAGTTCGGTTTGTCCAAACATTTTTTTACAATGCTGAGGTTCCAGGTTCGGCAATACACTGTTCGAACCTTTGGATGTTCACCAAACTGATAAAGTTTAATTTGAACTCCATCAGGTCCGGTTCGAGATGCCATTTCGTTCCTCACTTAAGTGGACCAAACTATTTCGTGTGTGCGGAGAGTCACTGTACTCTACACCGGGAGCTGGACTACTCGGAAAGCATGGGTGGTACGAGTGATCGTAGCGTTCCTTGCGTTCTCTGGCACTTGCGCGTTTACAGAGCAAAACAGCAAGAGTTTCACTAACATAAGTTGATAATAATGATACAAAGATGGTAGGAAACGATGGCTATATCAGGGATCTAGCAACCTAGCAGATTGGCAAATCGATCACCAGCGTAGCAAGTCGGCGGCCCGCCAGCGCAGCAAGTCGGCGGCCTGCCAACGCAGCTCGATGGCGACTTGCCAGCATTGCAAGTCGGCGATTTGCCAGCGCTGCACCAGAGCTGCTTGCCGACGTTGCGGCAATGCGGCTTGCCAGCGTTGCAACCGCACATGACTACAGCACACATGCACGAACCCATTTCGCAGGTCCTGGTCGACGGTTGAGCACGTCGTGCACTATCACGCACATTGCGCAGGTGCCAAGTCGGCCACGTGCCGACCGTTGCGCCGGATGTGCCACGCCGACCTCGTGCGCACGTGAAATTGCCACGTAGGTCGGCCTCGCCAAGACCACCTGGATGAAGTTCCCGCACTCCCGCAGACCTTAGTCAGCCAGGTTACACGGTCGACCAGAGGAGGGCGCCGACGTCCACAAGTCAGCGTCATGTCCAAGAACACTTTTGTCGGTAGCCGACTTCACCTCGCCGACCAACACCACGGTCGGCTTCGCTGAAGCCGGCCTCCTCCAGGGCGGCTCACCGTCGAAGCTGGCTAACCACGCCGATTTGAGCCTCCAAATAGGCTAACCAGCAAGTCGGCCAATCAAGTCGACTTGCCCCTCCAAGTCCGCTAACCAAGCCGACTTGGCCGACCACAAAGTCGGCTCCGCCGTTCGTTGAAGTCGGCTTCGCAGTGGTCGGCTTCGCAATGGTCGGCTTCGTAGTGGTCGGCTTCACCGAAGTTGGATAACCGCCGAAGTCGGCCAACCAAGTCGACTTGCTCCTCCAAGTTAGCACCGACTACGAAGCCTAGCCCGCTGCACACCTTGCAAGCCAGACAATGAATCCAGCTTCGCCCAAGCAAGGGCGGAGCCTTTTCTCGTCAACAGTGTGGAACCAACTGAGGACCCGGGCTAAGCTATGTTGGAGTCGACGTGCTACACTGTGCGAATGAGAGGTATAACAATATGGATGGAAAATTTACTCCAATTGTTCCACCTCGAGTGTAAGCACAAACCGAACCCGAAGGGGTGTTCCCGAGCTTTGACAAACCTACTTCTTTGTCGAGCCGAAGAAGTTCGGTTCGTCCAAACATTTTCTTACGATGCTGAGGTTGGAAGTTCGGCAGTACCCTGTCGAACTTTCGGATGTTCGCTGAATTGAGAAGAGAAGGGTTCAGTCGAACTCCATCATGTTCGATTCGAGATGCCATTTCGCTCGTCACATTGAAAGTGGCCTTGTACTTTCGGGTTACCAAGACCTATTGTGCAGGATATCTTGGAGTATGTATGGGAGACGTTGACCCAAGCTTAAACTTTCCAGGGCATTTCTTTGATCCCACCAAATCTCGCATTTCGCCGCCAGATCCCCTCGGATCTTTCATTCTGCCGCCAGATCCCCACAAATCTTGCATTTCGACGCCAGATCCCCACAAATCTTGCATTTCGACGCCAGATCCCCACAAATCTTGCATTTCGACGCCAGATCCCCACAAATCTTGCATTTCGACGCCAGATCCCCACAAATCTTGCATTTCGACGCCTGATCCCCACAAATCTTGCATTTCGACGCCTGATCCCCACAAATCTGGCATTTAGCCACCAGCTCTTCACGGATCTGGCATTTCGTGGTCGGATTCTCGCTCTGGCATCTGCGAAACCTAAACCTTAAACCTGAAACCCTAACTGAACTTACGTTTAGAAACCAGGTGCGACTCATATTGGCCCTTCACGCCCTGAAATCATTACTGTCATCGCGTGGATTGTAGACATATCTGTCGAACTCATTCTGCCAAATAAGGACACAGTTTTCCTTATAAATATGGGAAAACAGGGTACCTGATGGAATCTTATAAATGGGAATGGTTTATCATACACAGTGTTATTCTAACCACTATGTAAACTCCTACAGATGGGTTCTCGAAATGAGTACAAATGTTCCAAAGCTGCCGGCTTTGGCAATCATTATTGGGAATGTCATGTCAAAAGAAATGCCCGCTGACGCAGGATGAGATAAAATCTGGATTATCTAAGTCAGCTCGTGCACAAATTCTTGCGAGCACAGATACAATTGTATGCGCTATTTTATTTTTTGGTGGCGCATATTACTGTGCCGATTATAAGGCATGTGCGTCATGTCTAATACTGGCAATAAGATCCTTGATAGAAAGAATTCTTCTTTATAGGAATAAAATATAATTGTGACTTCAAGTTGGCACTGTCTTCTATCCGGGCGATTACGTCGGTAACTTGGCCGAGCTAGGCTAGACCATCCCATTGTTCAGAAAGTAGGTGCAAACTTGCTTTCCTCAATCAACATAGTCAGTGGTTGTGTGTTGTCAGTGGTTCTTTTTTTTCGATTTTTTTTTTCCTTTTTTTTTTCTTTTTTTTTTGGCACACCGCCGCTTGGGTTGGATGTTTCAGATAATGCAGTGAAATTCACGGAGCAAGGCCACGTGACAGTGCATGTGTCCCTGGTGCCACACAGAACAAGTTTGCAAGACACCCTTCATTGCCAGGGTAAGCGACTATGCGAGCATTGACAATAGAATGTGGGGCTCATTCCCCTCTTCATATTAATGCAAGCATCGACATCAGCGAGCACCTTTCAACCTTTGCCCACTTCGTTATGTGCCTCTCTAAGATGATGCATGCATTGACACAAGGCCCATGGCCATGTCAACAACGCATTCCCTCTAATCGTGACCCTTTGCTATTGCCTTTCTCCCCCAGGCTTTTCCACCACCGTCCCTCGTGCACCCACTTCCACATTCACTAGCTGGACCTCTGCCTGGTACTTACTCAACATTTCGCCGGCTGAAGGAAGCTGCAAAGGCGTTGCCAGAAGCAGCAGCAAGTGCAACTAGCAACGCATTATGTGGATCAAGGGAGGGGAGGGGGGATGCCAGGAGTCCAGAGGGGGCCAATGGGCAGCGGCCAGCTGTGCTGGTGGTGTCATGCCGTGACTCGGGATGCGGCCTGCCAGCGTCTCTCCTCGGAGTTCACAGCAGCAGAGAGGCTTCGCACTTCTCGCTTGCGGTGAGTGTGAATGAGGGAGTAAGTTTCGTGTCACCTGTGGGAGGTCTAGTTTTGAGGCGCCTCAAAACTAGTTTCAGGTCACCTGTGGGAGGTGGAATTCTTCAGGATGCGGCCTGCCAGCGTCACTCCTCGGAGTCCACAGCAGTAGAGAGGCGTCGCACTTCTCGCTCGCGGTGAGTGTTAGCTCTTACGTTGCTGGTTGCTGGTGGTGTCGTGACGGGATTTGGGGTGCTGCCTGGGAGGGGCCCTAACACTCAGGTTCAGGGTTCCTTTCTCCATCCGCTTATTTTTTTTAGTCGACTCAAAAGCAGATTCAGAAGTCGTTCATCCATCCGTTTATTTTTTTTAGTCGACTCAAAAGCAGATTCAGAATTCGTTCATCCATCCGTTTATTTATTTTAGTCGACTCAAAAGCAGATTCAGAAGTCGTTCATCCATCCGTTTATTTTTTTTAGTCGACTCAAAAGCAGATTCAGGGTTCCTTTTTCCATCCGTTCTTGTGCCGTTTTTTGGGCTGCCTGCTGCCTCAAAAACAGACTCAGTGTGTTCTTTTCGCATCCCACTTCCCTGCGTTTTCAACCCCCTTATGCCTCTCGCCTCTCATTCCCTCTTACCTGTCCATTTCCCTCATACGTCCCTTCTCTCGCAACCCAACCCCGTCCTACCTGGATCCGACACTTGTAATACCCTGCTCTCATACTGCTCCCATCCACCCCATCCCATGCCATCCCATCCCATGCCATTCCATCCCATGCCATCCCATCTCATCCCATCCCATCCCGTCCCGTCCCGTCCCATCCCATCCCATGCCATGCCAACCCATCCCATCCCATGCCATGCCATGCCATGCCATCCCGTCCCGTCCCGTCCCGTCCCGTCCCGTCCCGTCCCGTCCCGTCCCGTCCCGTCCCATCCCATCCCATGCCATGCCATGCCATCCCATCCCATCCCATCCCATCCCATCCCATCCCATCCCATCCCATCACATCCCATCCCATCCCATCCCATCCCATCCCATCCCATGCCATCCCATGCCATGCCATGCCATGCCATGCCATGCCATGCCATGCCATCCCATCCCATCCCATGCCATGCCATGCCATGCCATGCCATCCCATGCCATGCCATCCCATCCCATCGCATCCCATCCCATCCCATCCCATCCCATCCCATCCCATCCCATCCCATCCCATCCCATCCCATCCCATCCCATCCCATCCCATGCCCTCCCATCCCATGGATCTCATCCTGGCTGTAACCCCTTGGCGTGGCTTGGCATGGCATGGCATGGCATGGCATGGCATGGCATGGCATGGCATGGCACCCCACCATCCATGAGTTGCACGAGGCAGGGAGTGGGCCAGGAGCATCGCTTGGCCTTGTGCTCATGCACCAGATGGTGAGTGCTCATGCACCAGATGGTGAGTGCTCATGCACCAGATGGAGAGTGGCCACTTCATGATGATCCGTTTTTTTTGGTAGTGGCAGAATTTTTTTTTTGTCGATCCAAAAGCAGACTTCTAGAGCTTCAACACAAGGCCAATTGAGAATGTGATTGGTAGTGGCGGAAATTTGAGCCTTGAGAGTGTCGTTAGGACATTGAGAACTGTAGCTTCAAACATGTCTTATAAGGGAGTAATGCACACACTACAGTGCAATGCTGGCATACCAATGTGACAATGTCATGCCTTCAACATGACGTGGCTTAGTTTACTACTTTCTCTTTTGTAACCCTCAGGTGACTTTAATGAAGGGGGAGATTGCCTTTGATTCCCAGCCTGGCTGTGGCTCCACTGTGGCATTTTCCGTGCCCGTGGCCGTTCCCTCGATACAAGAACACTCCTCGCTACAAGAACACTGCTCATATGAGGAAGCAGAAGTGTTGGAATCGCAAGACTTGCAGAGTCAGCAGCAGCAAGGGGGGGCGTCATGGTTCTGTGAGAGTCAGGAAACAGGGTCAGGCAATTCCCCAGGTGGTTCCAGCAGTACTCGAGAGCAGGATACAGGTTCAGGAGTTTTTTCAGGTGTTGGCAGCAGTACACAGAAACATGGGCTGGAATCAAGGGAGGAGTGTGAAGAAAAGCACAGCTAGGAGAATTATCAGGTGGTTCAGCAGAACCTGAACCAGCAGCAGCAACAGCCGCAGCCGCAGCAGTCACAGCATCAACATGAGCGATCACTAGCGGGAACGGGGAGGGTAGGCAGTGCAGGAGAAGTCTCAACAGTCTTAGATCAAAGAGCAGCACGCGGGAGAGCAAGAGACAGGTCTCGTCGATCCGTCTCTGTAGCCGAAATCACCGCCACAACCACGGGACTACGAGCGGCGGCGGATGAGGTGGTGACGCGGGCGTGGGTGGGCGGGCTGCGAGTGCTGGTGGTGGACGACACGCCCGTCAACCTCCTCGTGGCCCGCCGCTCCCTCGCCCGCTGGGGCGCCCTGAGTCACCACTGCTTCCCGAGGGGAGGAGGCACTTGAGTTGATTGCTGCTGACCTTGTCTCCACCACCTCCCGAGGAGAGGAGGCGCTTGGCGGGTTAGTTAGAGCAGGTGCTCGGGGGGCTGGTGAGATGGGTGAGAGTAGCGGCAAGGAGATAGCGGCTGGGGAGCTGGTTGGGAGCAGTGCGGATAGTAGGGAGGGGTTTGGCGCAAGTGGAGCAAGGGGAGCTAGTGAGAGAGGAGGTGATGCACGAGGAGTGGATGGGAGAGGCGGGGACGGAAGAGGAGGGAATGAAGGAGGCCGTGCATCATTGCAGCATGGCTTCGACTTGGTTCTCATGGACCTGCAGATGCCGGGCATGGACGGGTGAGTGGTGGTGGGTGGTGGTGAGTGGTGGTGAGTGGTGATGAGTGGTGGGTGGGCATACACGGGTGAGTGGTTGTGAGTGGTGGTGGGTGGTGGTGAGTGGTGGTGAGTGGGGGTCAAGGATTGGTGGGTCATGAAGCAAGGTGCAACAACTGAGGCCCAAGTGTGTAACTGTGCTGCTCCTCCCTTCCCCTTCCCATAGCAAAGTGTGAACCTTGAAGTGCGAGCCTATATTTTCCCTCCCTTGCCTTGCCACATTCGCAGCAACAGAGGCGATCTGAGCTTTCGAGAGAAATCTTATGTTGGAAATGGCACAAGAGGTGCAGCAGGAAAGAAACCCTGTATTGCCCCTGTCTTGCCCCTCCCTTGCCTTGGCAGGTTCGCAGCAACAGAGGCGATCCGTGCATACGAGAGAAAGCTTATGCTGGGCATGGCACAAGAGGCACAGCAGGGAAGAGAGCAGGGGAGGGAGGAGGAAAGGGAGCAGCAAGGAGCATTGGCTTCAGAGGGAAGTATGGGAGGGCAACAGGGAAGCGTGCAGCAGGGAAGCATACAGCAGGGGGACATATGGGAGAGCGCAGGGGGGAGAGCAGCAGTGGCGGGAGAGATGCACAGGCGGGGCATGAGCTGTGGAGGAGACTGGGGGAGGGGAGAGAGATTTGTGCACAGGGAAATGGGAGGACAAGGAGGGCAGATTGAGGGAGCTTCTAGGGCTGGTTCGTCTGCTCTGCAAGCCTCTCACCTAGAAGCTGCTAACGCTGCTGCTGCTGCTGCTGCTGCTGCTGCTGCTGCTGCTGCTGCTGCTGCTGCTGCTGCTGCTGCTGCTGCTGCTGCTGCTGCTGCTGCTGCTGCTGCTGCTGCTGCTGCTGCTGCTGCTGCTGCTGCTGCTGCTGCTGCTGCTGCTGCTGCTGCTGCTGCTGCTGCTGCTGCTGCTGCTGCTGCTGCTGCTGCTGCTGCTGCTGCTGCTGCTGCTGCTGCTGCTGCTGCTGCTGCTTCTTTGAGTGCCCAGGCTGTCTCCCTGCGGGTGCCCATAGTGGCTCTGACGGCAGACGTGGATCGTGGAGTGGTGCAGAGGTGTGCAGAGGGGGGATTTGACGGTGTGCTGCAGAAGCCAGTGGATGCCCACCTGCTCGCCGCCCACCTCTCCCAAATGTGCTTCCACCGCTCCCTCGGGCGATAGCAGTCTCTGGGACGGTAGCACTCACCCTCACTGCACTTCCACTGCTCCCTCGGGCGATAGCAGTCTCTGGGACGGTAGCACTCACCCTCACTGCACTTCCACTGCTCCCTCGGGCGATAGCAGTCTCTGGGACGGTAGCACTCACCCTCACTGCACTTCCACTGCTCCCTCGGGCGATAGCAGTCACTCCATCACTCATTCTTTCCGCACCCACCTGCTCGCCGCCCACCTCTCCCACATGCACTCCCACCAATCACTTGGACGGTAGCACTCGGTCATAAGCAGTCCCTCCTAACGCACCTCTCCCAACTGCACTTCCACCACACGCTACAGCAGTAGCAGTCACTCACAGCGCACTTCTCAAAACCCAAATGCACTTTTGTCCCTTTCTCAGGCAATAGCACTCACCCGCAGCAGTAGCAGTCACTCACAGCGCACTACCCAAAAAGCCACCCACCCAAACTACTGACCGGCTGGACGCTGATTGCACTTCCACCACTCGCTCTGGTGGTAGCAATCACTCCAACACTCCAACACTCACACGCTCCAACACTCCAACACGCACACACTCACACGCTCCAACACTCCAACACGCACACACTCACACGCTCCAACACTCCAACACTCACACGCTCCAACACTCCAACACGCACACACTCACACGCTCCAACACTCCAACACTCCAACACTCACACACTCACACGCTCCAACACTCCAACACTCACACACTCACACGCTCCAACACTCCAACACTCACACACTCACACGCTCCAACACTCCAACACTCACACTCACACCCCGTCCGCAACTCACTCACTCAGGCTGCATCACAGGTCAGTCCCACACAAAGTATTGGCAGATTGTCCACGGACAGGCGGCTTCGCAGTCCGCTCCTGACTTGTTGGAGACGGTTTTGCAACGAGGAAGGAGCGAAGAGGAAGGAGCGACGAGGAAGGACAGGCCAGGCCTACCGTGTTCAACCTAGCACCAGAACAGGGGTTTTTCTTGCCGTCATCCCCTTGAGAATCACCTGAAGGGGACGGGGGTCACCAGGTGCTCTTTCTAATTGGACCCGGGTTGAATTGAATCCCAAGTTCTCTTTTTGTATCAAACTCCAGGTGTGGTTTTGCAGTGGGTCACAAAAGGCGAAATACAATGCGGTGCCTCGCTAGGTTGAAGGCGGTGCAGCGCTTTACAACGCATTTTGTGACGCAAGGTTTTTGTGGCACCCATATTGCTTGTACAGAGTGGTGATTCCGAAAAGGTTGTGGCGCACAACCCATCTTTTTACGTTAGTCTGTATCTGTTTTTCTACAATTCTCAGGAAGGTTGTGGCCCGCAGCCTTTTCTCTTACGTAAGTCTGACTCTGATGCAATCATGCCGAGACACTGCGTGCTTTTGTTTCTTCAGCGTGCTCTGCTGCATGCCCTGAGGCTTAGTTACACATGCCCTGCATCAATAGTTGAGCGCGCCCCACGGGACAAATTAAGTGCCTCAACGTGTCTTTTGAGTAGACTCAAAAGGCGTGAGTGTTCAACACTAAGTAAAGCACTGTGCTGTGCCCCTCGACTTGATGTTTGTTTGCTGCACAAGGGTGTGGCACTTGGAAGTAAACTTTTGAGTCGACTCACAAGTCAACTTGGATGGAAGTAGTGCCTGATAGGTATGTTGAACAAGAGAGCTGTTCTTGCAGGTTTGTGTATTTTCAATTCCACCAAGAAACATGCATGGGTCCAGACTAGACCGTGGGACTTGTAATTCTGGTCGTTGTTGGCATGAGAGCTTGCTGCATTGCGTACAAGGGCGCATGAGTGAGTATTATCGCTAGCATGACTGCTTCCGCCGGAGGGAGCGATGGAAGTGCGTTTGGCTTTTGAGTAGTGCGCTGGGAGCGATTGCTACCGCTGCAGCGAGCAGAGGAAGTGCATGTGGGAGAGGTGCGCTGGGAGGGACTGCTATAGCTCGAGGGAGTGGTGGAAGTGTGGTATAGAAGTCACTCCAGTGGCTCCTTTCACCTAAGGGGGTGGTGGAAGCATTTGGCCTTTGAGTGCGCTGGGAGGGACTGCTAATTTCTGAGTGCTACTGGTGGAGGGAGCGATGGAAGTGTATGTGGGAGAGGTGGGCGGCGAGCAGGTGGGCATCCACTGGCTTCTGCAGCACACCGTCAAACCCCCCCTCTGCACACCTCTGCACCACTCCGCGATCCACGTCTGCTGTCAGAGCCACTATGGGCACCCGCAGAGACAAGGGCTGGCTGTCACCAGGAGGAGCAGCAGCATCAGGGTTTGCAGCAGCGTTGGAGGCTTTTAGGGGAGAGGCGCTCAGAGAAGACGAACCAGCCCTAGAAGCCCCCTCAATCTGCCCTATTCCTCCTGTCTCCCGTGGCAAAAAACTCTCTCCCCTGCTCCCTCTCCCCCCCATACGTCCCCCCCAGTCCCCTCCGCAGCTCACTCCCCGCCTGTGCATCTCCCTGGGCGCTGCTGCTCCCCTCCCTGCGCCCTCCCATCTCCCTCCCTGCTGTAGAATCCCCTCTGTCCCAGTCAGCCCTTCTCTGCTCGCCATGCCTCCAGGCCTTGACGTCGCCCCTGGCACCACTGCACCTGTTACAGGGCCTGCTGCTGCTGAGTTTTGAGGCCCCTCTATACCTGTTGCAGGCCCTGCTGCTCTTGGCGCTGTTGCTGCTGCTGTTGCTGCTGGGCCCACATCTGTCATCAGGTGCGCCTCTGGTGCCCTCTCCAACATAAACTTTCTCTCCAGAGCTCGAATCGCCTCTGTCGCTGCGAACCTGTAGGGGAAGCAAGGAGGGAACGTTTGACTTGGTTTAACATGTGACAGCTTGAGACATAAGCATGAGAAGTACCATGAGGCATAAACACCAATGTTCACCACTCACCTGTCATGGCATAACCATGAGGGTGTGCGTGCATGAGTCGTCACTCACCCATCCATGCCCACCACTCACCACCATTCACCACCACTCACAACCACTCACCACCACTCACCCGTCCATGCCCGGCATCTGCAGGTCCATGAGAACCAAGTCGAAGCCATGCTGCAACGATGCACTTCCTGCTCTATCATCCTCTCCTCTTCCACCCCTTCCTCTTCCACTCCCTCCTCTCTCATCCGCTCCTCTCTCGCTCACTCCCCTCGCCCCGCACCCATCCCTACTATCCGCACTGCTTCCAACTAACTCCCCAGCCGCTATCCCCTTGCCTCTACTCTCAACCATCTCGCCAGCCCTCCCAGCACCTGCTCTCACTAGCTCGCCAATCGCCCCTCTCTCCCCCTCCTCCCCTCTTCCCTCTACCAACCCAGCAGCCAGTAAGCCAGCAGCTTCCTCCCCCATCCTCCCTGCCACGCCAGCAGCAATTGGGTCAACGGCCTTCTGCCCTCTCCCGTCGTCCAGCTTTCTGCTCTCCTTGACCCCAGCAGCGATTAAGTCCACTGCTTGTTGCCCGTGGGAGGCGGTGGTGACTTGGGCGCCCCAGCGGGCGAGGGAGCGGCGGGCCACGAGGAGGTTGACGGGCGTGTCGTCCACCACCAGCACTCGCAGCCCCCCCACCCACGCCCGCGTCACCGCCTCATCCGCCGCCGCCCGCAAGCCTGACCCAGCAGCTGCCCCTCCAGTGGCTGCATTGGCAGAACCGGGTCGAGGAGGGTGTTCGATTGCGCTCATGCTCTTTCTCACGCTCCTCCTGCTCTCTTGCTCTGCTGTTCTCTCGATGGCTCTTGAGCTGTCTTTCTCGTTTTCAACCCTCCCTGTCCCTTTGAGGGGCCGAGGTGACTTTTGAGTGAGCGGCTCAGGAGTGTTGAGGGCGCTTGAGCACTCTCCCTCGCTGCCCACCAACCGTGTCCCTGCTAGTGATCGTCCCAGTTGCTGCTGGGATGCTTGCTGCTGTTGCTGCTCCTCTTGCTGCTGCTCCTGCTGCTGCTGGCATGACTCAAGTTGATGATAATGGTGTTGCTGCTGACTCGGCACGTTTAGCAGCTCCAATGAATGAGGTTCCTCGTCCGAGCAGTGTTCTTGTAGCGAGTTTTCTTGTATCGAGTGTCCTTGTAGCGAGTGTTCTTGTAGCGAGCAGTGTTCTTGTAGCAAAGAGTGTTCTTGTAGCGAGGGAACGGCCACGGGCACGGAAAACGCCACAGTGGAGCCACAGCCAGGCTGGGAATCAAAGGCAATCTCCCCCTTCATTAGAGTCACCTGCGAGTCGTCAGAAAGAAGTACAACAAAAAAAATGGTGGAGGTCAATTGTTGCACTCATTGCTTCTATTTCACCACTTCCCTCCAAAGCTCGCATATTCATTCGTCCTTACTGAGGTGCCTTCTTGGAGTTTCTGCATTTCTCCAATGTTGCTACCTACTCTGCTATGTTCCCTTAAGACATGCGGACATGACTATAAATGTGCAACCACGGCCATGCTTGGAAGTGGGAGATGGTTGAAACGAACACAAGAGACTGTTATCCCAATACATTACATTACATTGCACTACATTACATACAAACATGCGCAAATAAGCCAGTCGAGTACATCCTTATGGCTTGTCGTGCATTTGCAAAGTGGCAAAATTATGGCAGCATAAATAGACCTTGCTTCGATACACATGCATTCCAAAATGATGCTTCTGAAAAAAGAATAAACACAATATTTATATACATATATTATGCATGTGTACTGTATACTATTTATTGATACATAGAACATGAAGTGGAAAGGAAACTCACAATCTGGTGCATGAGCACAAGGCCAAGTGATGCCCCTGATCCACTCCCTGTCTCGTGCAACTCCTGGGTGGTGGGGTGCCATGCCGTGCCATGCCATGTGGGATAGGGAAAGGATGAGTGACAGCAGTGACCGAAGAGTCAGGGAGGGAGCAGAAGTGAGACGGGACGTGGGAGTGAATGAGGATAGAGAGAGAAAGGTTGCGAAGACCAAGGTGGGAAGAGAGCGAGGGCGAGGGGGGACTGAGGAATTGAGGAGGGAAGGGTTGAGGGGAGGTCCAGTGCAAAGGCAAGACAGATAAGGCGAGTAGATCACGTTCCGTCACTGCGCTGCACCTCATACATGGAACATGAGAGCCGATGAGAGTCAGAAACAGCCTCACTCCCATTGCACGCGAGCAGTGTGACGCGCCCCTGTTGCCATTAACTCAAAGGACGGACACTGGTAGGCCGCATCTCAAATTCCGGCACGACGCCACCAGCGACAAGAGAGCTAATGAATAACAACTCACTGCTGGCGAGAAGTGCGACGCCCCTTCCCTGCTGCGGTGGATTCTTATGAGAGACGCCGGCAGGCCGCACCCCGAGTCCCGGCATGACACCACCAGCGACAAGAGAGCTAATGAACAACAACTCACTGCTAGCGAAAAGTGCGAAGGCTCCTTGCTGCCGTGAATTCCGTGGAGGGACGCTGGCAGGCCACATCCCGAGTCCCGGCACGTCACCACCAGCACAGCAGGCCGATCCCTTGAAGGGCTGCTTGATGCACTTGATGCTGCCGCTGCCGCTGCTGCTGCTGCTGCTGCTGCTGCTGCTGCTGCTGCTGCTGCTGCTGCTGCTGCTGCTGCTGCTGCTGCTGCTGCTGCTGCTGCTGCTGCTGCTGCTGCTGCTGCTGCTGCTGCTGCTGCTGCTGCTGCTGCTGGCAATCTCCTCACGGCCTCCTTCAGCCAGTGCCATGATGAGGAGAACCAGGCAGCCAAGACGGTGAGAGTGGAAGCAGGTGCATGAGCGGCGGTTGTGAAAAGACCTGGAGGAACAAGGCAAAAATGGAAGGAAAGATAGAGAGGGCGTGAGGAATGACAAACATGAGACGTGTGCTAGTTACTGTCAATGCGTGGGCATGAAGCAAGGGGAAGAGCAGAGCAGCTGACGAAAAAGGAGAGACAGGGGGCAATCGAGAATCAATTGACCTGCCTTGCCACTTCGTCACACAGATCTGTCGATGGTCACGAATCTGCTTACCCTGGCAACGAAGGGCGTCTTGCAAGCTTGTCCCTCGAGGCACCAGGGACACCCGCACTGTCACGCGGCCTTGCTCCGTGAACTTCACGGCGTTATCTGAAAGGAAACCAAGGTGGTGGTGTGCAAAAGAGAAACCACACAATGCACATGTAAGAAAGGAGAACTGGAAGAGAACAACATGTACACCCATTTTATGACTTAACTTCACAGAAGACGACTCAAGAGTCAACGTATTACAGTACATGCGTTCCAAGTACCTGTGATCTCTTTGAGCACTTTGGAGAGGTGCATCTGATCGCCAACGATGTGGCCCGGAACGTTGTCGTCCACAATGCCGTGCACTGGAGGTTCGGCGGAGAAACAAAAGAAAAGGAAAATACAGTCAGCACCAATGGAAATCCATACACGGTAGGCATGGGCATGGCCCAGACCTGGACCGCACCGCATCAGGCCTACCCAGGCTGGCCACGATGGTGGGTCAAGCCCGGTCCCGAGGGTCGCTGAAAGGAGTCGGGCCGAGATAGGTCTAGGTCGACCCTCACGCATCTCGGGTTATGTTGAATGAGCTGTCACAGAACCTGCACGGAAGATGCCCAATTGATCATAGGGAAGGGTTGCCTTGGAGTTTATGAACGCACTCACTCGCTATTCAACAAGCCATTCCATCCAAATGGTCAAACGGCTGAGACTTTGACATGGTATCAGAGCAAAGGTATCGGGTTCGAATCCCCATGTGTGCACATGCTGACAGTGCTGCTGTGCCGTTTCCTAAGGCATCCCTGAGAGAGGAGGGGTGTCAGAAGACCTGCACTGGAGATGCCTGATTATTGAGTATAAGATTTATGAACTACTTACATTCAATACTGACCATAGGTTAAAGTAACACAATTACACTTCACTAGATCCAATCCACCCACCTCAATGAGCCAGTTATATTCTACTTTGGAACGTGACGCCTTCACATGCCACTCCAACGCTGCACGAAGTCACACACGCACAATGAAGCATGTCTCATCCAACACCACAGCTTGCCTCAATGAGCGACTCACATTCTATGCCTTTGAAACGTGCCACCTCCATATGCCAATCCATTGCCTCGTGAAGCCACTCGCGCACCATGAAGCTCGTCTCATCCACCACCGCCTTGCCTGCCTCCAGCTTCGCCAGGTCCAACACGCGGTTGACCAGATGCAGTGCATCCATCGCACAACCCCGTGCCGTGAGGAGGTCCGATAGCTGAGAGCTTTGGAGAGACATGTCTGCCAAAGCATCGATCATGCCTGGTGGGAGGGAGGCAAAGAGAGGGATGCATGAAAGAAGGTGCATAGTATCAAGGAAAAGATAGCATGCTTAAGGTTTGTAATCAGTTGGTTACGGCGGTGGGAGAGTCATGGTTGTTAGTGGTATGATAAGGGTGAGTGATGTCACAAGAACATCATATGGAGGACGAGCTTGAGGTGTGATGTTTAAAACCGGAGTCCCAAACAGGCCTAAACTGCCTCAAGCTTCCTAACTGTGGTTGGGTGTGACCCTGTAGATATTGACTCACTTCGCAAATTGTCGGGACAAATTTCGCCACGCGAAATTACTGTACTAGCGAGAGCGATAGGAGTGACGATTTCGCACAAAAATTTGAAGCCCGTCCGAAACTTTTGCAAGTTATTTCGTACGTTGCATTCAAAATCTGGTTACACACGCGAGGTACTCAGGCTCTGCGATCGGCGTCCACAAATCGCGACACCACCCTGGTTCGCGCGCCACTGACGTCCCTTGCCCCAACCAAGCTTCCTAAGTTAGAAACTCTTGGAACTCCGGTTTTAAAGTGGCACTACCTGGTTTTTTAGAATTCTCAAAAACCAGCTTGATGTGTGATGTTTTAAGTGGCACTGATGCCTTAACAACTGTTTCATGGTAGGCCTTGCATGCGGCTATAAAAAATGTGTTCGAACGCACCGATAATCCCAGTCATCGGCGTCCTGAGCTCGTGAGACATGCACGCCACGAACATGCTCTTTGACGCCTCTGCGTCCTCTGCTTCCTTCCTCAGTTTGTCTGCAACTGCCATCTGCTGATGCGTCTGGAAGAACTGGGCTCGCTGGATCCGAGCGGCTACCAGCACGAGCAGCACGAGGAGGAGGGCGAAGAGGGCGATGAGGATGGGGATGCCCCACGATTGCCACGTGCTGGAAGGTTGTGTGTGTCTGGATGCGACAGGGAGGGGATGGGGGGATCACAGGAAGGTGATGAGGGCGAGGAGGGCGATGAGGGGGATGAGGGGGATGAGGATGGGGATGCCCCACGATTGCCACGTGCTTTGAGGCTCTGAGTGCCTGGACGAGGGAGAATGATGGGTAGGTTGTGCAGATTCATTATGCGTAACAAAATAGGAAGGCTTTGCACAACACACGCGTCGTATGTGCCTCTTTACAATGCTGGTCTTGACAGTCCTAATTCCCCAACAAAAATATCGCCCGCTAAATAATATGGTTTTTGTGCAAATGTACGCTCGTAACAGAAACAGAGAGCCAAGGCTTGCCTTACCTGTTCAAGGCAACAACCTCTACATTCAAAGGACTCTGATGGGTCTGGATGTATGTTCAACCCACATAGGTTTTGATGACTCACCTGCACCAGACCTGATATGTCTTGAATTTTCTTGAATTTCTAAGAACAAGTTTCTTACAGTATTGATCCTTTTCCTTAAGCGTGTTCTAAAGGTTTGCTGCTACTCCTGACATGAATCTTGATACGTTTTGATGACTCACCTGCACCAAACCTCATACTTGCGCACGCCAGCCCCCAGCTCCTCCAGAGGCACCATAGCCGGCCTTTCCCAGGGGCGGGTTTCGGATGCAGGCGAGGGAAGCATGCGAGCGGCGGGATCGGTGGGGAGGACGTAGATGTGCAGCGGTACGGGCGAGACTATGGCAAAGAGGTTCGATCTGTTCGCGACGTCATAGAGCTCAAAGGACTTTGATGGGTCTGGATGGATGGGAGGGAAGGAGGGGCGAGAGAGAAAGAGGTTTCCAGAATGCTTAACCACAATATGGGAAATATAAGTGGTTAAATAGCCAGATTACCATGGTCCCGATTGTGGTTGATAAGCGGCAGCTTTGGGCAAGGTATTTATCGGTTCGGTTCTAATCACGGGAGGGTTGGTTGGCATGACACTCACCAGGTGCGTACAACTCTTGCACGACTTTCTTTGCAATGGATGTCACGTCGACGGATGCAGCAAGCGTCCCATACACCATCGACACGGCTCCATGCTGCGACTGGCTTGGTGGGAGAGTGCGGCGAAGAGGAAAGGCCACACCTGTGTCAACGTCGGTGAGAGGAAGAGACAAAAAACAAAGGCATTCATCTGATTATTTTCAAGGGCGAACATCCATCCACTTCGATAGGAGACAAAACGTTCTTCTGCAAAAACTTAGAGCCGAAAACCTTACTCTAGACCGCTAAACACTGCACACACAAAAAAAACTGGTGAGATCTGCTTGCCAGCACTCCAAGAACACAAACAACTTGTTTCTCATAGGCTCAAAGAGATTTGCAGCTCACCGAACCCAGCATTGGTTGACGAATTAGCCAGGGGGTATGGCCACGTGTAGAAAGGCCTTCCCTCCACAGCCAGCGGAACTTCTGTGGGAAACCGCTTCATGAGATCAACATTCTGCGTGCCGTTCATGGCCACTGTTGTGGAGAATTGGAGAATCTTGGGGCAGTAGATGGGGCGGTGGGCACTGACGTTTAGAGTGTTGTCTCTAATGCTGCCGTACTGCCGTTCAAAAGAGGCCCTGTAGGGATGTTTGGGGGGAGAATCGGGAGAGAGTCAGAAAGAGAAGACTGTTGTTGTCCCTGACGTTGCCGTACCATCGCTCAAAAGAGGCCCTGCATTGCTGAGTGTGGGATAAACCGTGAAGAATTACGAAAAAGGAGAATCGCTTTATGAGATTAACATTCTGTACGCCGTTCATTGCTACTGTTGTGGAGAATTGGAGAATTGGAGGATTGGAGGGCAGCAGATGGGTGGCGAGCATTTACGTTGCGAGTGTTGTCTCTTATGCTGCCATACTGTCGCTCTTATGAAGGACTGGGGGATTGTGTGCATGTTACGAGTGCAATCGAGTGAACGAAGACAGCAACGGTAACGCGCTTGCGAAAACGTGCCCCTCAAGCCTAATGCCAAGGACGAACCGTAGAGCCGGGTGCGCAATGGTTGTATTGGCGGGAGCAGTGCCGAGGCGAGTGTCGCGAGGTGGTAACAGACTACAGCTGAGTGTACAGTGGCGGGAACAGTCGTGTACGCGGTATGCAGTGTGACGCGGAGTAAAGAAAAGTTGTTTCCTTATAGTGTGCCATGAACAGGGAAGGACATAGGTGATTAAGTCACTGGAAGAAGACAAACTAAGCAAGGCCAGCATCAACGGATACATGTTGCTGTCCCTCCACCCCCTCTCTTCCCCCCTCTCGCTCACCTCTCCTCATCCCTGACAAAAACACAGGAGAGCGCCCCCTCAGTAATGGAGGCTGAATTCCGTTATCCCTTCCTACCTCCAAGCAACCATTCCCCACCAACCACCCCCCCCCTTCACCCTCCTCCCCCTCTCACCTCTCCTCGTCCGGGACAAAGACACAGGAGAGTGCCCCCGTGTTCCCCGGGCGAGCATAGGCAATGCGAGTAAGGTAAGCCTCCCACGTGCTGCCGTTCAAACACCTGTCCAGCTCCCACTTGCCCCTCCGCCCCGGCTTGCCCATCACTGATATGATGCCTGTGAGGGTCTGTGCATGGGAACATAGAGATAACAACATTAGGGCATTAATATTTGAGTAATTTATATGAAACGCTTTGTCGATGTCTCACTCTCCCGCCTGCCTCGGCATGGTCGATACCGAAAACAAGGCAAAAGAACTGAATGAGAGAAAAGGGAATCGACAACGATGACGACGACAGCGACAACCCCAACAGCGCCCGTAGGAGCAATCATAATGTCAAGGCAAGCAACGTCAACGACGATAAAGGCGGAGACAGCGACAATGAAAACGACAAGGCAACAACGACGACGACGACGACGACGACGACAACAGCAACAGCAACAGTAGCAGTAGCGGCAGCAGCAACGACGACGACGACAACCACCATCACAACAGCAACAGCAACAATGATAATAGCAGTATCAGCAGCAACGACGACGACGACGACGACAACAACAACCACCGCAAATAGCAGCACAGCACCAACGACAATACTTTGAAAGCGGGTAAGCGAGTAAACAAGAAGAATGAACGGATGCTAAATGAGGGCACCTCCTCTCACCAACCTTGCAAGTGCTGACACCCAACCCAAGAGTACCTGGTTCTGCCCCACACTGGTGAGCACGAGCTGCTGCAGCATGAGGACATGAGGAAATGAGGGCAGGAGAGCAGAGAGCAGCACTTATGCAGCAGGAGGTAAGGGAAGAATGCAGGCACCGCTCCAGTCTTACCTGGGTCTGCCCCACATTGGTCAGCACGAGCTGCTGCAGCATGAGGGCGCGCTCCTTGCACCACACGCCCAGCGCCTCCTCCCTGCGGCTCTCGTACTGCGAGTGCCGGTCCCACAGCAGCCATGCTGCTACGGCCAGCCCACACAGCACCCACGCCGTTACCAGCACTGTGAACCAGGGCGCTGGGAGGAGGATGAGAAGGAGGCGAGAGGGAGGGAATAGAGAGGGGGTAGAGATAGGGGGCAGCATGCGAGTGTTGGTCCCACAGCAGTCACGCTGCCACGGCCAGCACACACAGCACTCACGCCGTTACCAGCACTGTGAACCAAGGGGATGCAGGAGGGAGAGGAGACAGAGAGAGCGGATGGGGGATTCGAACCCCAATACTTCTAATTCTTTCCGAAGGAAGTGGATGGGGGATGGGCAGATGGGGAGAAAGCTTTGTGGGAGGAAGGCGGATGAGAAACACGGATGGGGGGGGGGGGGGGCGGATGGGTGGCGGTGGATGTGGGGGAGGTAGATTGGATGAAGGCGGATGGAAAATTTGAGGGGCAACGAGATGATATTTGAGGCGCCTCACAAATCAAATCACCTCAAAATTTGAAGGGCATCGAAAGATGGTGAGAACACGGGGGGATAGTGGAATGCGGATTTGGGGAACGCGGATGGGGGATTGGCGGGAATGCGGATTTGGGGAACGCGGATGGGGGATTGGCGGGAATGCGGATTTGGGAACGCGGATGGGGGATTGGCGGGCGAGAGGCTGATCGGGGCAGGAAGATGGGCGGCGGCGGATGGGGAGGGGGAAGGCGGATGTGGGGAAGAGGCAAGGGGAATTGGGGGGTAGGAGGATGTGTGGAATACAGATGAGGGGGAGGGATAGGGGAAAGGCGGATGCGGATGGGGATGGGAGAAAGGCAGGCGTGGGGGAAAGAAGGGGCGGGAGGGGGGGGGGGAGGGGAGGGGGGGGATAAGCGGATGGGAGGAAGGGATCTGGGGAAGGAGGATGTAGGGCGAGCGGATCGGGGGACGGCGGAAGGGGGACGGCGGATGAGCGGGCCGCGGATGGCGGGAAATTGGACGACGGGAAGGTGAATGAGGAGAAGGCGGATTTGGGGAACGCGGATCGGAGAAGGGGGGTGGGATGAATGCGGATTGGGGCAGGCAAATGGATGATGGCGGATGGAAAGGGGGAAGCAGATTAGGTAAAGCGAGTGGAGACCGCCGAAGTTGGCGGGGCAAGTCGGATGGGGGACGGAGCGGGGTGCGGGGTCGGCGGATGGGGGAACGGCGGGGCGGGTGGGGGAACGGGGGGGCGGGTTGGGGGACCGCGGGGCGGATGGGGGAACGGCGGGGCGGATGGGGGGACCGCGGGGCGGATGGGGGACGGCGGGGCGGTACTCGTCTTAGTGAGGCGGATCTGGGGAACGGCGGGGCGGATGGGTGAACGGCGGGGCGGATGGGGGACCGCGGGGCGGATGGGGAACGGCGGGGCGGATGGAGGGACCGCGGGGCGGATGGGGGGACCGCGGGCCGGATAGGGGACGACGGGGCGGACGGGGGGACGGCGGATGGGTACTCGTCTTAGTGAGGCGGATCTGGGGAACGGCGGGGAGGATAGGGGAACGGCCGCGGGGCAGGTGGGGGAACCGCGGGGCGGGTGGGGGGACGGCGCGGGGCGGGTGGGGGAACGGCGGGGCGGATGGCAGGACGGCGGGTGGATGGGGGGACGGCAAATCGCCGCCTTAGAAAGGCGGAGGAGGGGACAAAGAGAGTGGTAAAAGACGTGCGTGGGGACGACGTGGGCAGAGAGAAGCGGCGCGAGAAGTGGGGTCGGGGGAAACGGGGCTGGGGAAAGACCTGCGCAGCGGGCCGCGCTTAGCGCGATCGCCGCGTGGCATTCCGCGGCGTGTAGTACGCGGCGGAATTTGTCCTCACTCTCACCCTGGAATAGCACGGCGGCGGAGCAAATTACACGACCTCCCTTTTTCCTATCATCATCCTCTTGCTCCCTTTTATTCCGAGCCTGCTTCGCATTGCGTGTCGTCTGCCTGTTCCAACCGCCTCTGACTCGGGTTTCCGCCATAGCTGCCGCCGCCACAGTTATCCGCCGCCAATTATTCTAATTCTGAGGCGTTTAAAAAAACACCCGCCAAAAATAATAACTTAACTATTTACAGCCTTCCCCGCGTCGAGTTTCCGCCATGACTGACGCGGCCCGCCAATTATTCCAATTTTTAGACGCCTCAAAAAGTATTCGCCAGTTATTACAAATTTACATGATTTACATGTACTATCAGCTTCCTCGTGCCCTGGCGCGGGTTTTGGCCGACGGCTGAAAATGGTCGCCTTTTTTTAGATTTCTAGAACCGAACGTAGTGATTTTAGTATGGCAAATGTAGGGATGACGAGCAAATAATGGTTCATTTCGAATCCCAAGCTACTGACTCGTGCGAACCGAACTGCTCATCTGGAAATTGTGTCGAATTGAAAGGGACTGGGCGGGCGAGGGGGAGGGAAGCCTGGGAGCGGGAGGTCGAATTCGAAGGTTTGGCGTTTGTCACCCTGAATGGAGCAGAGTTCAAATGAGATGTTTCCTAAATTATCAAGGTACAGTAGAACCTGAATTACGCCTTACGATCTCAGGCTTCTCCTTAGGACGCACAGGATTTCAGCACACAGACGAAAATATGAAAGCAATAGCGATTGCGACTGCGATAGGCAACAACTTTCAGTTTCCAACATATTGGAAAACAAGCCCTCTATGAAATGCTTGGTAGCGACTGTTCTACGGGGTAGTCAAAGGCTCCACCATTCGGTCATACGTACACCCTCTTTCTCGCCATTTGTGAATTCGGTTATCATGAAGTCAAGATGGGAAAAGCACGGTTCACGGTGGTTGATTTATTTTTCAGTATGGTTCAATTAGGCAAATCGAAGATAACAAGGTTTTGCACCTGTTCGGCACAGTTCAGTGTAGCGAGAAACAGGGTGTATTGCAGTCACAGAACACGAACTGTTAGGAGAAATGCAGGGGCGTTTGATAAGCCAAATGTGTACGTGTACATTCAATACAGACCAGTTTTCGGGTTTAGATGCATGCAGTGTGTCGCGTGTACACAAGTGAATTTCGCAGTACACCCCTTAAACGCGCCCCCTGGGGGTACATACCCGGGGTGCAGACTTTCTCGGAGGGTAGTTGACTGCGAATGTTGAAGAGCTGGTGAGCGTTCCGAAACCCAGTCGCGAATAGACGATAGCATTAAAAACTTCAGTCACGCAACCTCAACCCCATCCTCACTCGGAACACATGTTGTAGTTTCAAGAAAAACTGCATCTCGCTGTCGACTGATAGTCCCTGAGTTTCAGTGTGTCCGTCGTATCGAGCCAGAATCGGTATTGGGCACCTTAAAAAAAGGGGGTACGGGTGTGCAATTATCGAGAATAATTCACACGCGTGAACTGACGTGGTGTGGACAAGAATGGTCGCCCGAAAGTCGCTGAAAGGACGAACACCTCCAGCAATCGTGTCGTGCGCGTGCAACTTTCAAATTTCACTACTACCCATGGATACATGCTCAATTCTGGATTCATCATTCACTAGGGCCCAGTTCGGCAGGCATTAAAAAAACGGTTTCCCCGGATGGGCTACAGTAAACCGACCACCCTGAAACCTTTTTTGATAAGCGCCTGAAAGGTTATCTAGGCTCGATATAAGCGGATCATCACCGAACCAGACAATACACCGAGTCCTCGGCAATTTCACGCCCCCACCGAGGGGGTCAATCTTGTCTGTAGTGGCGGGGGGGTGAAATTGGCCATAACATTTATGTAGGGGAGTCTGCAGGGGACGCCCCCGCGCAGCACCCAACCCCACCGACCCACGTAACGACAAGGGAAGGGGTGAAATTGGCCCTAGTGAAGTTGGCGAGGACTCGGTGTAATGGAATGCCAGCCGAACACCCCTTTTGACGCTGGCATTTTCTACCAGAGGAATCTTCCTCGAACTCTATTTCCCAGGCAAATGGTCCATTTTCTGATACGCCGCACCATGCGGTCTCGAGAGCCCGCACCACACGGGGTCACAGTGATTCGGGGCAATCACACATTGCCCTGAGAAAAACAAATCCCGGTCTTTCATGCCCCTCTTCTTGCCCGCTGGAAAATCACACATCACCAACACACCATCACTAACACATCGAACGCACAGATTCTCTTCCCCGAATTTTTTCGACGTCCACCACTGGTTTGCAGGGCTGCCCGGGCTGCCAGTACAGTGATTCTGGGCTCCATCAGCGCAGCTGCATGCGAGCTTCTGCGAAGTGTCATTTTGGGTTGATGCCATTAATCCAGGCCCATTTAAAACCCGCAGCCTGAATTACAAGAAAAGTTGGGAGGTGTTAACACCTCACCTTCCGGACCAACACCAGGCCTCCCGAACCAGGGTGGTTACCAGGTCTCCACCTGGAAAACGTGAAAGAAGTCGCAGGCAGCACAGTGAAGGGTCGCTCGGTTCCCGCGCAACCACTCTAGCTGTGGTGTGCACACCAAACTGTGTCTTGTAATTCAGGTCGACAGAAAATGCCTAGTCTGAGCAGCTAGAGCGACAGCCATAGCTTAGAATTTCCAGGCTTCCAAGCAAATCCAGCGCATGTCTGAAAATTCCGCCATAGGGCTTTAGGACCGTGCGGATATTCTTGCAATCCGTCGCTTATGCCAAACGCGGGCCTAGTTCACGTTACCACGTTTCCCTACGGTGTTCTAGCTAAAGCAGTCGCGGATGATGACTCCATCCCGTCGCCCACGGGCACTCCCCGAGAACGAGCACGCACACTCGGTCCCGTCACCCTCGCGCACTCCATTCCGCTGCCCACGCTCAAGACCTTCCCGTCGCCCACGCTCACTCCCTTTCCATCGCGATCGCGCAATCGTACCGTCGCCCACGATCAGTCACTTCCGTCGCCCACGCTCACTCCATCCAGTTGCCCACGCTCACTCCCATTCCATCGCCAACGCGCAATCCTTCGATCGCACACGCGAACCCTCGCGCGTCGCACACGGCCTGTTCCCTCCTGTCGCAAACCGCCTCACCCATCGCCGCCTCACCCATCGCCGCCTCACCCATCTCCCTTTCACGCATCGCCGCCTCACCCATCTCCGCCTCACCCATCTCCGCCTCACCCATCTCCGCCTCACCCATCTCCTCTCCCCCCCCATCGCGACAACTCCCCTTCCGCCGCCCACGCTCTCTCCCTCCCGCCGCGTTTCCGCACTACCCTCCTGTCGTGACGGTCCGCTCCGTCGCACACGCTCAATCCCCACCAGGGGAGACCATTACTTGCCCCCCTCGCTCGGCCACGCGAGACCCCTCCGTCGCACACGCTCATTCCCTTATTCGCCCACGTTCACTCCCCTCCGTCGCCCACACTCACTCTCTCCCGTCACCCACGCTCACTCCGACGGGAAGCACGCTCATTCCCCTCCCGTCGCCTTCGCTCACTCCCCTTCCCCCGCCCACGCTCGCTCCCTCCCGTCGCGTTCGGCCCCATCCGTCGCCCACGCTCATCTCCCTGCCGTCACACACGCACGCACCCTCCCCTCGACCGAGAAGGCATTCCTCGCTCCCGTCGCATACGCGTTCATCTCCCCATCCCTCATCTCCCCGTCCCTCATCTCCCCATCCCTCATCTCCCCGTCCCTCATCTCCCCATCCCTCATCTCCCCGTCCCTCATCTCCCCATCCCTCATCTCCCCGTCCCTCATCTCCCCATCACTAATCTCCCCATCCCTCGTCTCCCCATCCCTCTCCTCCCCATCCCTCATATCTAATACCTCACCTCCCCATCCCCGCCTCCCACTCCCTTCCCTCCCCATCCCACACCTCCCCATCCCCGCCTCCCACTCCCTTCCCTCCCCATCCCACACCTCCCCATCCCCGCCTCCCACTCCCTTCCCTCCCCATCCCACACCTCCCCATCCCCGCCTCCCACTCCCTTCCCTCCCCATCCCACACCTCCCCATCCCCGCCTCCCCATCCCTTCCCTCCCCATCCCACAACTCCCAGTCTCTCATCTTACCGTCGCTCATCTCCCCATCCCTCATCCTCCCATCCCTCATCTCCCCATCCCTCGTCTCCCCATCCCTCATCTCCCCGTCCCTCCCGTCCCTTTCCACTCGCCCCGCCACTCCCGCCGTGCTTCTCCCTCACCCCATTCTGCCTCGCCCCATTCCGCCCCATCCCATTCCGCCCCACCCCATTCCGCTCCACCCCATTCCGCTCCACCCCATTCCTCTCCCTATCCGTCCTCTCCCTATCCGTCCTCTCCCTATCCATCCTCTCCCCATCCGTCCTCTCCCTATCCATCCTCTCCCCATCCGTCCTCTCCCCATCTGATCGTCTCCCCATCCGTCCTTCCCCCATCCGATCCTCTCCCCCTCCCCTCCAGGTGTTTCCCACACTGTCCTCGGCCTTGCGTCCACCGGGGAGCTGCTAGGGGCGCTGTGGGCGGATGGCGGCGGGCCATCTCCTCCTCACCCCATCTCCTCCTCACCCCATCTCCTCCTCACCCCATCTCCTCCTCACCCCATCTCCTCCTCACCCCATCTCCTCCACACCCCATCTCCTCCTCACCCCATCTCCTCCTCACCCCATCTCCTCCTCACCCCATCTCCTCCACACCCCATCTCCTCCTCACCCCATCTCCTCCTCACCCCATCTCCTCCTCACCCCATCTCCTCCACACCCCATCTCCTCCTCACCCAATCTCCTCCTCACCCCATCTCCTCCTCACCCCATCTCCTCCTCACCCCATCTCCTCCTCACCCCATCTCCTCCTCACCCCATCTCCTCCTCACCCCATCTCCTCCTCACCCCATCTCCTCCACACCCCATCTCCGCCCCAACCCACTCCCCATTCCACCAACTCCGCCCCACCCCATCTCCTCCACACCCCATCCTTCCTCCCTTCCTCCCTTTCTCTATTTTCCCATTCCTCCCTTCATCATTTCTCAGTTGTCATTCTTTTGCATGCTTGCTTCCCTTCTACTTCTGCCACGTCACATCTGACTTCCTGGTTTGTGTTTGCAGGTGTCTTCTCTGCATCTGGTTGGGATGTGTTGGCTGCTTGATATCTCACGACGTATAGACATGCCATGTATTGGATAGTTTCGTATGATACGGCATTATGAGCTTCAGAGCAGTCATACACATGACCACTAACTAGGGGTCCAACAAATAATATACTAGTACTATTTGTACCGTACAAGGGGAATCACTCAATTTTATAAAAGAACAAATCTGGTGCTGGGCACCTGTACCCTGCATTGGGGGAGGGGGGGGTGAGTGAAGGGGAAAAGACAGTAAAAGGAGTGAGCAGAAGGGAAGAGAAGAAGCAGCGGGGGACAGAGTGAGAAGGGGGGAAGAGAGGAAGCAGTGGGAAACAGAGTGAGCAGAAGTGAAGAGAGGGAGCAAGGGGGAAGAGAGTGAGAAGAGAAGGGGGTTGGGGAGCAGTGGTGAAACAGAGCGAGAAAGGGTGAAACAGAGTGAGCAAGGGTGAAACAGAGTGAGCAAGGGTGAAACAGAGTGAGCAAACCTTAACAAAGTGAGGAGGGGGGAAGAGAGTGAGCTGGTGGGAAGATAGTGAGCAGGTGGAAAGAGAGTGAGTAGTGGGGGATATAGTGAGCAGGGTGGACAAAGAGGAGGGGGAAGAGTGTGAGAAGGGCGAAAAAGAGTGTGCAAGGGGAAACAGATGGAGCAAGGGGAAACAGATGGAGCAAGGGGAGGGGAAACGAGGGCGACGGACGCGGGAAAGTGAAGTCAACGGGAGTGGAAAAACGAGGTTGACGGGAGGGGGAAAGAGAGGTCGACAGCAGGGAAGGGGTTGGGGGGAAGCAGGGAAGGGGATGGGGGGAAGCAGGGAAGGGGATGGGGGGAAGCAGGGAAGGGGATGGGGGGAAGCAGGGAAGGGGTTGGGGGGATGCAGGGAAGGGGATGGGGGGAAGCAGGGAAGGAGATGGGGGGAAGCAGGGAAGGGGATGGGGGGAAGCAGGGAAGGGGATGGGGGGAAGCAGGGAAGGGGATGGGGAGAAGCAGGGAAGGGGATGGGGGGAAGCAGGGAAGGGGATGGGGGGAAGCAGGGAAGGGGTTGGGGGGATGCAGGGAAGGGGATGGGGGGAAGCAGGGAAGGGGATGGGGGGAAGCAGGGAAGGGGATGGGGGGAAACAGGGAAGGGGATGGGGGGAAGCAGGGAAGGGGATGGGGGGAAGCAGGGAAGGGGATGGGGGGAAGCAGGGAAGGGGATGGGGGGAAGCAGGGAAGGGGATGGGGGGAAACAGGGAAGGGGATGGGGGGAAGCAGGGAAGGGGATGGGGGGAAACAGGGAAGGGGATGGGGGGAAGCAGGGAAGGGGTTGGGGGAAAGCAGGGAAGGGGATGGGGGGAGGCAGGGGAGGGGGCGGGGGGAAGCAGGAAAGGGGATGGGGGAAAGCAGGGACGGGGATGGGGGGAGGCAGGGGAGTGGACGGGGGGGAGCAGGGAAAGGGATGGGGGGAAGCAAGTCAGAGAATGGGGGGAAGCAGCGCAGGGGATACGGCGAAACAGGGAAGAAGATGGGGGGAAGCATTGCAGGGGATACGGGGAAACAGGGAAGAGGACGTGGGGAGCGGGAGAGATGCCGGGGAGAGAGCTGGGGGGAGGACGGTGGGGAGCAGGGCAATTGATGGGGGGAAGAGGGAGAGAGGTAAGCAGTGTGGGGGTGAAAGGCGATTATTGGGGAGAGGGAAGGGTGTATGTGCGGGTTGGAAAGGGGGGGTGACAAGTGTGCGAGATGAGAAGGGAGAAGGGAGGGATGGCGAGGGCAACGAGGAGTGGATGGGAGGGCGGCGGGGAAACCGAGGGCGACGGGGGAGAGAGATAGACGGGGATTGCGAGGGGACTCGCGGGAGGGAGGGCGACGAGCGGCAGGGAGGGCGACGAGCGGCAGGGAGGGCGACGAGACGAAGGGGGGCAACGGGCGGAAGGGAGCGCGACGAGGGGAAGGAAGGGCGGAGGGCGGAAGGGAAGGCAACGGGAGGACGGGAGGGCGACGAGAAGAAGGGAGGGCGACGGGCGGAAGGGAGCGCGACGAGGGGAAGGAAGGACGGCGGGCGGAAGGGCGGGTGACGGGCGGATGCGAGGGCGACGGGCGGAAGCGAGGGCGGCGGGCGGGGAAGCGGCGAGGGGGACGGGCTTCCGCGAGGGTGGTAGGCGGGGAAAGCGAGAGCGACTGGCGGGGGAAGCGAGAGCGATGGGCGAGGGAAGCGAGGTCGACGGTCGGCTAGGCGGCGAGGGCGTCGGCCGATGGGCGAGGGTCGCGAGGTGGGCAAAGCGCTAATTTCTCATCTCCTCACGCCTATTCTCCGTGCTTCGATTGCGTGGCCACGCTGCACCTAGGGATTCCGGTTGTCTGAAATGTGTTCGCTATAACACCCTAATGTAAGAATCTTCGCGCAATGTAGCTACTGAATTTGTGTGCTGCCGCTTGGAGGAAACTAAGATTCGATCATTTTGTGTCTAAGTTAGTAGCTAGTAATGGTGTGCTGGTTTTTTGTCGACAGAAGTCCTGAAGGTGACATCCCTTCCCCATTGTATTGGTTTCTGTCGCCCAGATTCAATGTTGCGACACTTGTGTGTTCGCAAATTGGTTTCGCCACCCGAAAGTGTCACCCACCCGTCCGCACCTCTCCCCAACCTCTTCCCAAACCAATCGTTGACTCGTTTTTGTAATTCAGGCTGCGGGTTTTAATGCCAACCGAACAGTCGGGCCCATTCTTCCGAAGCAACCTGCAGCTACAGTCTGACTTCGCAGCTGTTTCGAGGGGCCATTTTTTGGGGGCCCGTTAAAAATGCCCAGAATGGCCATAATGGCCATAATGCCTGCCGAACCGGGCCTAGAAGCGAAACCCTCGGCTAGTGTTGAGCGTGTAGCACAAACCTACACGCTAGCAAAATCTTCCCGGTGGTGTAGAAAGTTGTTTTCTCTTGACCGTTGAGAGACTACCCCGAGTCCCGACTTGCAACGACAAGCCACAAGCAGGAAGCGAAACAACCAAGCAAGCGAAGCCAGCCAAGAGCAGTCCAACCACACAAACCGCCGCCCAACCGCCCTTCTGCTGCAATCCATGCGCTGGACTGGAAGTTTGCAACACCAGCTCTGCGGTGGTGGAGAGGCGGACTGCCCCCTGCCCTGACCTCGTGAGAATCCAGGGCTGGAATGCAGCTGAAGAAGCCACTCTCAAACGCATTGTAACTCTTTGTAACGCCACGAAATTTGTTAGCGGGCAATCCGTCTCCTGCAACACCCTGCCCAGCCTAGCCTGCCCTAGCCTACCCTCCTGAAATATTCGACAGCCAATCCGAGGGCGCAGAGCGCTAGCTCTGCAGGTTATCTAGGACTAGGGTTTCCCTACCACCTCATTCTAGAAGCTAGTCGTAGCTTTCTAGGCTAGACTGACCTAGGAGTTACCGATTTCCCTCCCTCCCTCCGCTTCCGCTGCGTGGATCCTTTCAGCACCTACGTTTGTGACGTAAGCTTTTGTAGCAACTCCTTTCTCTGGCTAATCTCCTGAGTTATTGTTTAGATTATCCTTCATCGTCATTTTCTGGCCTTTTCACCTTCTTTATCCATTTCGCCAGGCGAAACGTTTAAGGCTAAATTCTTCTCGTCCGCTTATATATCCTTACCCGTTACGCGGGTTCCCGTCGTTTCTTACTTCAACTCCTTTTGTCATAATTCCGTCACCTGCCCTTCCGTTCCTTAGCTGCGTGCTTTCGAAAGTGCCGTGAAATATGTCTGGAGTTGACTCAAAACACGCCTTTAATTTGCGAATCCACTATAATGTGCCGCATCTCGTCCTCGCGAGTCGCCGCGCCGTGCTGACTCTGGCTGCGCGACGCGTCGAACGTTTGTTAGGAATTTCGCATCGACCACACCATGTTGTGTGTAACTATCCCATCCATTCCCCGCTCGTTTCATCTTAGCTAATATTGGTGTTCTTTCTCCCGTTTATTTCAGGTTGCAACGGCGTTCTGGATATGAAGGTCTAATAGGTCGTTCGTTCACACGCCGCTCCTGTTTGCCGGACAAGCATGATCGCCGATCTTTGAAAGTAAAGACGGTCGTTTTGCACAACAGCCCTTCAAGGAAAGGCCAAGAATACAGCTAGCGAGTTTCGTTTTGCATTAATCAAAATAAGGAGGTTGTGAGTGGTGTGTTTGCGACCGGCGGTTTCGTGAGTGGTGGGGTAACCATCCATGGCGACTGCAGCAGATGGCGAACCTATCTCCCCTCTTCCTCCTCCAGCTCCCCCTGGCGGTCCGACTCAATCGCAGCAGCCAAATCAGCAACAACTATCTCAGCCAAAGCTGGAGCTGTTACAGCAACAGCAGCCGCTACAGCCGCAGCAGCCGCTACAGTCACAACAGCAGCTACAGCAGCTCCAACAGCCGCTCACTCCCGTTATAGTCCCGTTGCCCATGGGGACTCAGCCGCAGCAGCAGCAACAATTGCAGAACTCCCAGCAGCAGCAACAGGTTCAGCAACAGCAACAGCTGTCAGGTCAGCAGCAAGTAGTGACTCTCCCAGTCATCCAACCCCTCGGCCCCGCCGTTTTCCGCGAGGGCAATTCGTGCATGGAGTGCGGAAACGCGTCCAAGCGCGACTGCCCGTACCGCCGCTGCCGCACGTGCTGCAAGGCGCGCGGATTCAACTGCGCGACGCACGTGCGCAGCACGTGGGTCCCCGCGGCGGAGCGGAGAAAGCGCGAGCAGATGGAGTCCGCCGCGCGGGCCATGGCGGCGACGATGCGGCCTGTACCGCCGCGGACGAAGCGGGCGCGAGGCAGCGGATCACAGTCGCCCGTGGCGGGACCCATACCCATGCCCGTGCCGTATTCTGCTACCACTGCTACCGCTGGTGCTGCTACTGCTGCTGTCGCTGCTGCGATGGGGCCTGCTGCGGTGGCGCCTGCTGGTGCTCTCGGGGCGTTGGGAAGCTCAAGTTTTTTGCCAGCCAGTGGGATGTCGACACCTGTCATGGCCCAGTCGCCTGCGCGAGGGCCAGTGGCGTCTGTGGTGGTGCCTATACCCCAGGCGCAGGTGCCGGCTCAGGTGCCTGGTCAGTTGTCGATTCAGTTGCCCGGTCAGGGGCACGTGCAGCCGCATTCGCAGCAGCAGCAGCAGCCGCAAACAGCAGGAGCGTTGCCGCTGCTAGGTGCGCAGACGGGTATGCAGGCTCATGGTCAAGGGCAAGGGCAAGGCCAGTCACAGCAATTGCTGCTGGTTCCGTCTCAGTACCAGCAGCAGGTGGGGGTGCCGCCAGCTCAGGCTCCTGTACAGCAGCAGCAGCAGCAGCAGCAGCAGCAGCAGCAACAACAAGTTCAGTCGCAGCAGCAGGTTTTGCAGCCATCTTTGCAGCCACCAACGCAGCAGCAGCAGCAACAGCAGGTGGCACAGCAGCAGACTCTGCAGCAGCCATCGTTGCTGGCTCTTCCAGAAACACCTGCGCAGCAGACTCAAGGTGAGATAGTTGTTTGATTGGGCCTTATTTATTTCTACAATTGCGTTGCTCTTACCTTATGTACGATGAAGAATCAAATATGTCTTGGGACACTATTCACTTGACCCCGTCCCACCCCTCACAACTCGTCTGCCCCACGCCAGCGGAGGTGGTGGCTCAGACCGTCCTCAGGAGCGTGCTGCTCAGCACGCTCTCAGTCAACCCCTCCTCACCGCTCTCAACCCCTCTCTCCCACACCAGCACTCCCAGCAGAAGTGGTGGCTCAGACCCTCCTCAGGAGCGTGCGGGTGACAGGCATCGTGGACAGGCACTTCGAGTTTGGCTACCACGCCTGTGTCAAGACCGGCTTCTCACATGCGCATCATTCCGCAATCTCACTTAACCCCCCCTCACCGTTCTCAACCCCCCTCTCTCCCTCGCACCAGCACTCCCAGCAGAGGTGGTGGCTCAGACCCTCTTGAGAAGCGTGCGGGTGACAGGCATCGTGGACGGGCACTTCGAGTTTGGCTACCATGCCTGTGTGAAGATCGGCGGGCACATCTTTAAAGGGGTGCTCTATAACGCGGGCATAGACCCCAACCCGTCCCAGCCCCTGCCTGGTTGCTCTGGGTCTATGGCTGCTGGTGTGGCGGGAACTACAGCCATTAATGTTGCTGCTACTGCTGCCACTGCTCCTGCTGCTGAGCCTGGTGCTGCTTCTGCTGTGCCGGTGGCTTCAACTGCCTGCGTGGCGGCGTCGTCAAGCGGTGTTGATGCTGCTGCTGCCACTACTCCTGCCGGGTTCTATCCGGCTGCAGCTGGGGTTGCTCCTGCCGGCACTGCTGCCACTATTGGGGGTACCACCACCTCGGCTAGGACTGGTACTGCTGCTGGTACTGGTACTGCTGTGGTTGGTGCTGCCATTGGTGCTGGCGCCAATGCCACCTATCCCTCTGGTTCCGGCCTGCCGTCTGCATCAGGGGGGTTGCTACTCGGCACTGTAGCGCCCTCCACTCCCCAACGTGCTGCCGCCCCAACCCCTTCCCTCGCCACTCCTCTCTCCATCCCCCCCGTGTCAGCATCAGCCGCCGCAGCAGCTGCTGCTGCCACATCGGGCACTCTACCTCTTTCTGCTGCTGCCTCTCCTTCCTTAGTCGCTAAAACAGGCTCGCCGTTACAAGTCCCCAGGCTAGGCTCGACCTTACTAGTCCCGAGGTTAGGCTCAGTAGGGAGTTCCGGAGCTACGGCAGGGAGCTTCGGGGCTTCACCAGGGCAGCCTGTGGGAAGGTCTGGGGGGGGAGGTTTGGCAACAATTTCCCATCCACTCTCTCCTGTATCTCACTTCTCCCCGTTGACCTTTGTTCAGTCTGTTTTAAGCTCGGCTGCTGCTGCCACCTCTGCAGAAGCTGCCGCAGGTGTGGCGGCAGCAATAGAGGCAGCAAAAGGGGTAGCAGCAGGAGGAGGGGCAGGAGGAGTTGCAGGATTAGCAGGGGCAGCAGGAGGGGAAGGAGCAACAGCAGAAGGAGCAGCAGCACATACTCTCTCAGCCGCTCCTCAGCCCACCACCTCCTCCTCCCCTATTGTCATTTCCGTCCCTATCCCCGACTTCTCCTCGTCCCCTTTGTTGCAAATCCCTAAAAAAATCCTCTCTCGGGGACCTGTCCAGGTTCAGAGTACCTCTCAAACTCCACCCCAAGTGAGTGTCGAGATTCCAAGCACTTACCTTGCCTCTGTGCTAGGGGCAGCAGGAAGCAAGCAGAAACAACAGCAGCCGCAGCAGCTGCAGCAGCAGCAGCAGCAGCAGCAGCAGCAAGAGCAACGGAATGCAGGTCAGCAACACCAACTCGTCCTACCCAGCGTAGGGAGTGTGGCTGGGAATGCGCAACAAGAGCTGAAACCACTCGTGCCGGCAGAGGTTATGACACATGTGGAGCCACACGAACAGCAACAGAAAGAGCAGCAGCAGCAGCAACAACAGCAGTCAATGTTGTCTCCCACAGCAGGTAGTACAAAAGTGATGTCTGATGTTGAAGCTGCTACCGACGCTGCGGCTGTAGCCACTGCTGCAGGCACTGGTGCTACAGGCTCTGCTACAGGCGTTGGTGATGCAACAAATGAGTTGTCATCATCAGGGCTCATGCCTGCTGCTGCTGCTGCTGGTTCTGCTGTGCCTGCTGGTGCTGCTGCTGTTGCTGCTGCTGTTGCTGCTGCTGGTGCTATTTCTGGTGCTGTTTCTGGTGCTGTTGCTGTAGCTAATGCTACTGATACTGGGACTGCTGTTGAGATTGCAGCTGATGCAATCCTGACCGGGCCTAATGCTGGAACTGAAGCTGCTCTTGGTGAGGATAGTCTGTGCGAGGCTGGAACTGCTGGTTCCACCGGCCAAGCAACTGATGAGCTTGCTGTGATGTGAATGCGGGACGGCGATAGGGAGTGCTAGGATTTTATATATTTCCACCCAACTTTCTTGGTGAGTATGGTATGAGTCAGGCAGGCTGGAACTGCTGGTTCCTATGGCTGGCTCTGCTGGTTTCTGAAAGGGTGACTTTTCTTCTACTGTGCTTGTTTTGTTTCGTTTCTGAGTTGCATGGACCATGGTATGTATTATAAGTGTTTTGTATTTCTTTTTCAGACATGCACAAAGCCAAGCATGTTTTTACCAATGCAATTAGTTGGTACAGTAAAACTTCAATTCGGCTTTATTGTACCCAACGGTCATATGTCAGAGTTCCCGCGCTCCCAGATTCTGGTTTTAGCCTGCCATCATCATCACTGGATCATACTCGATAATACCGAATGGTATCCTGGTTTTGAGCAGAATTCTCAGCGGACTCCGCTGCTATTGCGGCGCTGCTGTCCCTCGCATTCCCCTCGTAGCTCGAAAATATAAGCTGCGAATCCCCTTGTGAATCAGCCTTGGTTCGTCTATTTCGCATGCTAGTGTCGCCTTTCGTGTTCCCCAATCGTCCACATGTCGATCGCCCATACGCTTAGTGGCGTCGTCGCCACGTCAGCCGCGGCTTCACGTGTTAACTACTTCGGCACCAAGCGGAATGCTGGGCGATTTCAGTTCTCGAAGCAGCGTGTAACGCGTATTTCACGCCGCTTCCATCTGCTGCCATGCGCCTCAGAAGGCGAGCGATCCGCGGTAGAGACGATCACACGAGAGGGAGAGAGACTGGGAGCCGACGAGCCAGGAGGTGATAGTAACGGAGGTGATCTTAGTGGGTCGATTCCAGCAACGAAGGGCGCCGCCAGCGAAACAACCACTTCTTACGTCTCCGCATCCCCATTCTCTCCCCAGGTAAGTTTTGAACCGGATTGTAAATACGACTCATCAGTCGCGCACTCCTCTCCATTTACCCCTATTCTACATTTTCCCCTTGTCCAAAAAGTTCCACTGCCCAGTCGTCACTTCCCCGTTCTGTATGTGTTTCTCAGTGGTCAGTGTTTCCCGGGTCACTGTATTCTTCCCAGTATTTGTCACTCCGCGCTCTGGCAGCAGCGGCTGCATCGTTGGAGAGCGAATTCGCGGAGGTGGACAGGCTGTTGGGGGTGAATCTGGGGGAAAAAGACAGGCCTCCCCACTCCCACTTCCACCGCCCACTCATCTCCTCCCGTTTCACGCCCTCACCACACCTCATTGGAGTATAATCCCATCCTCTCCCCTCCCCCAGGTGGCAGCAGCGGCAGCTTCCCTGGAAGGCGAATTCGCGGAGGTGGACAGGCTGGTGGCGGTGAACTTGAAGCGCGTTCTCGATGCCTTCGCCTCTGCACGCGTGGGGCGACATGTGAGTATGCGTGTGTGTGTGCCTTGCTGCTGCACGCATTGCCAGGCATGTGAATATGCATGTGTGCATGCCTTGTTGCTGTGGGACAAGGGGGGAAAGGTGAGAGGTACGTCAGCTGTTGGTGGTAAACCTGAAGCGAATTCTCGACTAGATGCCTTCCTCTCAGCATTTTAGTGGCTCTAAGGGATACACTCACAGGAACACAGTAATCAGAGCAGAGAGCCGCTTTACTCCAAGTCCTTCCCCGTTCCTGGCTTCCCTTCTGCAGGGTGTTTTTGAGAATTCTCAAAAACACCCTGCAGCACCTAAGGGATACACTCACGGGAACACAGTAACTAGAGCAGAGAGCAGCTTTACTCCAAGTCCTTCCCCGTTCCTGGCTTCCCTTCTCCCTTCTCCCTTCCCCCTCACTTTTAATTTTTCAACTGCCCCGCGTCCCCCTTTCACCCTGCATCAGCATTTCAGTGGAACGACAGGGTACGGTCACGGGGACGCAGGAGGCAGAGAGGCGCTTGATTCGGCCTTTGCTCAAATCGTTGGGGCAGAGGCAGCGTGTGTGCGTGCACAGGTAGAAAGGGGGAGGAAGAAAATAAAAAGGGAGGGTGGGGGTGTGGTGCAGGTAGGTAGTACTTGCACATATAGTGTTGGTGTAGGCCGTACTTTATGCTTCCCCGATTGACATCTTCAGACCCCTCGCTTTCCCATCATAGTTAATTCTCAGACATGCACGCCATCGCTGCTGCCTTCCATGGTTGCACGCCATCGCTGCTGCCTTCCATGGTTGCACGCCATCGCTGCTGCCTTCCATGGTTGCACGCCATCGCTGCTGCCTTCCATGGCTGCACGCCATCGCTGCTGCCTTCCATGGTTGCACGCCATCGCTGCTGCCTTCCATGGTTGCACGCCATCGCTGCTGCCTTCCATGGTTGCACGCCATCGCTGCTGCCTTCCATGGTTGCACGCCATTGTTGCTGCCTTCCATGGTTGCACACCATCGCTGCTGCCTTCCATGGTTGCACGCCATCGCTGCTGCCTTCCATGGTTGCACGCCATCGCTGCTGCCTTCCATGGCTGCACGCCATCGTTGCTGCCTTCCATGGTTTGCACGCCATCGCTGCTGCCTTCCATGGTTTGCACGCCATCGCTGCTGCCTTCCATGGTTGCACGCCATCGCTGCTGCCTTCCATGGTTGCACGCCATTGTTGCTGCCTTCCATGGTTGCACACCATCGCTGCTGCCTTCCATGGTTGCACGTTCCATGTGCACGCCATCGCTGCTGCCTTCCATGGTTGCCACGCCATCGCTGCTGCCTTCCATGGTTGGCACGCCATCGTTGCTGCCTTCCATGGTTGCACGCCATCGCTGCTGCCTTCCATGGTTGCACAGCCATCGCTGCTGCCTTCCATGGTTGCACGCCATCGCCTGCTGCCTTCCATGGTTGCACGCCATCGCTGCTTGCCTTCCATGGTTGCACGCCATCGCTGCTGCTTCCATGGTTGCACGCCATCGCTGCTGCCTTCCATGGTTGCACGCCATCGCTGCTGCCTTCCATGGTTGCACGCCATCGCTGCTGCCTTCCATGGGTTGCACGCCATCGCTGCTGCCTTCCATGGTTGCACGCCATCGCTGCTGCCTTCCATCTTTGCACGCCAAATCCCTCCCGTTTCCTGCTTTCCTCGTTTTCCCCTCTTCGCCCCTTCCCCTCTTCAACCCTCCCTCCCTCCGGTTTTTCTCAGGCACACACGCCATTGCTGCTGCCCTCCATGGTTTCACGGCAAATCCCTCTCGTTTCCCCTCTTCGCCACTGCCCTCCTTCTTCCCTTCCTCCCTCCCTCCAGTTCTTCTCAGGCACACACGCCATTGCTGCTGCCCTCCATGGTTTCACGGGAAATCCCTCTCGTTTCCCCTCTTCGCCACTGCCCTCCTTCTTCCCTTCCTCCCTCTCTCCAGTTCTTCTCAGGCACACACGCCATTGCTGCTGCCCTCCATGGTTTCACGGCAAATCCCTCTCGTTTCCCCTCTTCGCCACTGCCCTCCTTCTTCCCTTCCTCCCTCCCTCCAGTTCTTCTCAGGCACACACGCCATTGCTCCTGCCCTCCATGGTTTCACGGCAAATCCCTCTCGTTTCCCCTCTTCGCCACTGCCCTCCTTCTTCCCTTCCTCCCGCCCTCCAGTTCTTCTCAGGCACACACGCCATCGCTGCTGCCCTCTATGCCGTTCTGCGCCCTGGGGACGAGGTGAGTGGCATTCTCTGGCATCTAGTGCGGTGGCATTCTCCGGCATCCAGTGCGTTGGCATATTCCGGCATTTATTGTGGTCTTTGGAATGCTGCCTCCCCTCGCAACCCATCGCCGTGCACACTCTCTCCTCCTCACTCCCGCTCGCGTGTGATGAGTCTAAAGTTTTGTTTTAGTCGACTCAACAGTAGACTCATCACAGGCCTTTGCCGGCCTTGATTTTGGTCTTTCCAATGCTTCCTCCCATCGCAAACCGTTCGCCCCGCACACTCTCTCCTCCTCACTCCCGCTCGCCCCTCCTGCTCTTCCTCGCCACACCACTTGATCCCTCTTTCACCAACTCCCCGGCCCCCTCCCCCCCCACCGCCACCTCTCATCTCGTCCTCGCAGCTGCTGTTAGTGGCAGGGGCGCCATACGATACGTGGAGGAGGCGATTGGGCTCCGAGGCACAACCCCCACCTTTATGTCTCTCCCTCTAATCCGTTCTCACCTCCCAACCCCCCCTCCCCCCCTCTTATCCCCACCTCAGCTGCTGTCAGTGGCAGGGGCGCCATACGATACGTGGAGGAGGCGATTGGGCTCCGAGGCACAACCCCCACCTCTATGTCTCTCCCTCTAACCCGTTCTCACCTCCCAACCCCCCCTCCCCCCCTCTTATCCCCACCTCAGCTGCTGTCAGTGGCAGGGGCGCCATACGATACGTGGAGGAGGCGATTGGGCTCAGAGGCGCACTCCCACTCCCTCATTCTGTTTTCTCCTCAACCTTCCCCCAACCTCCACCAACCCCCCCACCTCCTCGCAGCTGCTGTCAGTGGCAGGGGCACCGTACGACACGATGGAGGAGGTGATTGGGCTCAGAGGCACGCCAGGGCACGGGTCGTTGAGAGAGTTGGGGTGTCATACCGGCAGATAGAGGTGCGGTTTGCTGGACAGATACACACTCACGCGCACATGCATGTGCACGTGCACGTGCACGCACATACTTTCACTATGCATAGGGCAGGGGTCGTTGAGGGCGTTTGGGGTGTCATACCGGCAGATAGAGGTGCGGTTTGCTGGACAGACACAGTAGGGCATCCATGGGAAGTCACATGAGTGTTCTTTTTTGGAGCAACAGGGAGTAGCACACACACACACAGAGAGACTCAGAGACACACTGGGGCATGGCTCTTCAAAGGTTTTTTTTTGGGTCTCCTTTCAGCACATAGAAGAGCCAGAGTTGAGCCAGCCGCAGACGAATCCTACATGGGGCTCTATTGGATTTTTTTTGGGTCTCGTTTCAGCACATACAAGAGCCAGTTGCGGGACAGAAGAGGTGATGCATGCATGCATGCAAATCATGTACCTCCTAAAAATGTATCTGTTTGATTCCTGGTTTATTCCCCCGTCAGCCCGTCAATTTCTCCCCGCCTTGTCTCCTGTCCCATGTAACCACAGTTGACGCCACAGGGAGGTATGGACTGGGATGCTCTCAGAGCGCCAGGGGTGGCTGCAGAGCACACACGCTGTGTGCTGGTCCAGCGCGTCTTTTGAGTCAACTCAAAAGTCAACTCGACTCAAAAGTCAACTCGACTCAAAAGTCAACTCAGAGCGCCAGGGGTGGCTGCAGAGCACACACGCTGTGTGCTGGTCCAGTGCGTCTCCCTTCCCCCCACCTTGTCTCCTTCCCTTCACCTTGTCTCCATGTATCCACAGTTGACCCCCAGAGGGCGGGCTCGACTGGGATGCTCTCAGCATGCCAGGTGCGGTGGAGCAGCGGACGCGCTGTGTGTTGGTGCAGCGCTCGTGTGGGTACTCGCTAAGAGAAACACTTACTGTGGAGCAGATCGGTCGCATTGTGGAAATAGTGAAGGTGAGTTGCCAACTGGGAATGTGCGCATTGAGTTTTCTAGAGAAACTCTGAATAGAAGGAAATTTAAAAAACAAACAACAAACAAGCAAACAAAACAAATTTCACCTTGCTAAAAGAGACGCTTACAGTGGAGCAAACTGGGCGCATTGGGGGATTTAGTGAAGGTGGGATTCTTGGGGCTGAAGGGTTGAAGGTTGGGATTTGAAGGGTGGAAGGTTGGGGCTTTGAGGCCTTCACACTCCTTGTCATTTCAACTCGTTCCCTTGTATGCAAGGTGGCATGGTGGCATGATTGCATGCATGATGGCATGATGACCCATGGCACATGGCGTGGCATCTGGTTACTATGCAGGCTCAGAACCCGTCATGCGTTGTGGTGGTGGATAACTGCTATGGGGGAGTTCGTGGAAGAGAGAGAGCCGACCCACGTGGTGAGAGGATGGAGGGGTAATGTATGGTAGCACGGCAATTGGTGCATGGCACATGGGCACACAAGACACATGGCACATGACATGCATATGGCACTCAGAAGAGCCCATCATGCGTTGTGGTGGTGGACAACTGCTATGGGGAGTTCGTGGAAGAGAGAGAGCCGACCCACGTGGTGAGTGAGAGGATGGAGGGGCAATGCAGTGTATCACCGCATTGGCCACAGGGCATGGGCAGAGGGCACTCAGAACCCGTCATGCATTGTGGTGGTCGACAACTGCTATGGGGAGTTCGTGGAAGAGAGAGAGCCGACCCCACGTGGTGAGTGAGAGGATGGAGGGCAATGCAGGTGTATCACCGCACTGGCCACAAGGCATGGGCAGAGGGCACTCAGAACCCGTCATGCATTGTGGTGGTGGACAACCTGCTATGGGGAGTTCGTGGAAGAGAGAGAGCCGACCCACGTGGTGAGTGAGAGGATGGAGGGGCAATGCAGTGTATCACCGCACTGGCCACAAGGCATGGGCAGAGGGCACTCAGAACCCGTCATGCATTGTGGTGGTGGACAACTGCTACGGGGAGTTCGTGGAAGAGAGAGAGCCGACCCACGTGGTGAGTGAGAGGATGGAGGGGCAATGCAGTGTATCACCGCACTGGCCACAAGGCATGGGCAGAGGGCACTCAAGAACCCGTCATGCATTGTGGTGGTGGACAACTGCTATGGGGAGTTTGTTGAAGAGAGAGAGCCGACCCACGTGGTGAGCAGATGGAGCGGGATAGAGGGGATAGAAGGGACGGAAGAGATAGAGGGGCATTGCAAAAGTGACCATCTCCATAGGCAGGGTTTAGCTCCGCTTCTCATCCTCAATTCCCACTCTCCCCTCCCTCACATCCTCATTCCCCTTGCTCCCCTTCCTTGCATCATCACATCCCTGCACTCTCCTCCCCACTTCCTCCCACTCTCCCCGCCCTCGCATCCCTCAACGAATCCCACTCCCTTATCCCTTCCTTATTGTCCTTTTCCTCTCCTCCAAATGCCAGGGTGCAGACCTTATAGCGGGAGTCTCATCAAGAACCCTGGAGGAACGATTGCCCCCAGTGGGGGTACGTGGCAGGGAGGGCGGACCTGGTGGAGGCTGCAGCTGCTAGGCTGGCTGCTCCTGGCATCAGTATGTATACATTTATACATTACATATATATACATAAATATATACATGCACATGCATGCAAGGTTTTTATTGTTTTTGTTTAAATATATGCATATGTACACGCATGCGTGATAGCTTTAATGTGAATATGCATGTGGTTGTTTGAGTGAATACTAATTGCCACCTGCATGTTGTTTCGTCCCTCCCCGTTGTTCACCCCCATGCATAGGCTCGGGCGACTTTTGAGTGACTCTTGAGTGACTTTTGAGTCGACTCTTGAGTGACTTTTGAGTCGACTCAAAAGTCACCATGTTGTTTCGTCCCTCCTCGTTGTCACCCCCATGCATAGGCTCGGGCGCCGGAGCAACAAGTGGTGAGGTGATGCGGCTGATGTTCCAAGGGCTGTTCCTGGGGCCGCAGATGACAGGCGAGGCCATCAAGGTGAGGGGAGGAGGACAGGGGGGAAAAGGGGGGGGGGGGGGGGGGGGGGGCTGGGGTCGGGAGGGGAGGGTGCTTGAAGACAAGTGGGGAGGTGATGCGGTTGATGCTTCAAGGGCTGTTCTAGGGGCTGCTCCCACAGATGACAGGCGAGGCTATCAAGGTGAGGGGAGTGAGGCAAGAGTGTGGGTGCATGATGGTATGAAGGGATGAAGGGAAAGGAGGAGAGGGGGTGACTGAAGACAAGTGGTGAGGTGATGCGGCTTATGTTCCAAGGGCTGTTCCTGATGCCACAGATGACAGGCGAGGCGATCAAAGCGAGGGGAATGGGGCAAGTGGGTGGGTGGGTGGGTGCCTAAACGTATGGAGACAAGGGGGATGGGGCGATGGTCTGAGAGTGAAGGAAGGTGGTTGATGTTCTAAGGGCTGCTCCAAGCAGTTTGAAGACACTTCAAAGTGGTTCATGCTTCAAGGGCTGCAGCAACAGGGTGACTTTTGAGTCGACTCAAAAGACGTCTCATAGTGGTGTATGTTTCAAGGGTTACACCAACGGCTGCACCAACAGCAAGCCAAGTCTTTTCTCCTCTCTCTCCCTTTCCTCTCGCCCCTCCACAGGGCAGTCTACTCGTAGCAGAGGTGATGGCGAATGAAGGGTTTGCCGTTCACCCCCAGCCCCGAGCACGGCGGAAAGACATCATCCAGGTGTGGTGTAGTGTGGTATGAGGAGAAACAGTGGGTTTTGAGCCACCTCGAAAGTCACCCTCGGCCCTGAGCATGGCGGAAAGACATCACCAGGTACGGTGAGGGGAGGGGCGGACACACAGGCAGCTACTGTTTTTGTTTTTTTGCTAAACGATGACACAAAAGAGAAACCCGCGTACACACACACATCCCCTCTTTTTCCTGCCACCCAATTCCTAATTCTTACTGCCGACTCTGCTCTTTCCGCAACACTTTTTCTTCCTCTGAATCCTCAAATTGTTATGCCTCTCGAGGCCCCCTCCCTCTCTCTTTCCTCCAGCCCGTCATTCTCTCCTCGCCCGCGCGCCTCCTCACTTTCTGCCTGGCCTTGCAGGGTGTGCGAAAATTGAGGCGTTTTTTTAGGCGCCTCAAAATACACCTTTCTGCCAGGCCTTGCAGGGTGTGCGAAAGCACGATGTATGAATGCAAAACGTGTGGAAGCAAATGTGTTTTCTCTGAATTTTTTCTTCCAGGCTGTCATCCTCTCCTCGCCAGCTCGCCTCCTTGCCTTGTGCCAAGCCGTGCAGCGTGTGTGATTGCATATGTACGAAATCAACTGTCTTTCCCTCTTCCGTCTCCTCCCCACTATTCTCCTCCAGGCTGTCATCCTCTCCTCGCCAGCTTGCCTCCTCGCTTTCTGCCAAGCTGTGCAGCGGCGGTGCCCTGTTGGGGCTTACATCAAGCCAACAGCCGGGGTGACAGCAGGGTATGAGTCGGAGGTGAGTGCACAACGTTCGTGTACCGAACGTTTGAGTTGCATAGCATTTATGTGCACTAAGTGCTTGCTTGCATTGCATCCCCGTTGGGGCCTTCATGAAGTCCACAGCCGGGGTGACAGCAGGGTATGAGTCGGAGGTGAGTGCACAACGTTCGTGTACCGAACGTTTGAGTTGCATAGCATTTATGTGCACTAAGTGCTTGCTTGCATTGCATCCCCCGTTGGGGCCTTCATGAAGTCCACAGCGGGGTGACAGCAGGGTATGAGTCGGAGGTGAGTGCACAACGTTCGTGTACCGAACGTTTGAGTTGCATAGCATTTATGTGCACTAAGTGCTTGCTTGCATTGCATCCCCCGTTGGGGCCTTCATGAAGTCCACAGCCGGGGTGACAGCAGGGTATGAGTCGGAGGTGAGTGCACAACGTTCGTGTACCGAACGTTTGAGTTGCATAGCATTTATGTGCACTAAGTGCTTGCTTGCATTGCATCCCGCGTTGGGGCCTTCATGAAGTCCACAGCCGGGGTGACTGCAGGGTATGAGTTGGAGGTGAGTGCAACGAATGCTGCCATGCTCTTTGTTGCACTTCACACCAAGTCATGCTAAGATGGTGCCTTGTTGGGGCTTATATTAAGCCCACAGCCGGGGTGACAGCAGGGTATGAGTCGGAGGTAAGTGCTTCAGTTCGTTTACAGCACAAATAGTTAACAGTACATGTGTGTGCACTAAGTGCATTCAGCGGCGGTGGGCCGTTGCGGCCTAAAACAAGCTAACAGCACAGGTCACAGCAGGGTACGAGTCTGATGTGAGTACACTTCGATCCTGTACAGAAGATGTGTGTAACTTATATGCTTGCCTACACTTCATTTATGTGCATTTTTTCTTACGTGCTCCGAAATTTTGTACACACTCCTCCTCACCTCTTCCACGCCCCTCATCGTCCCTCCCACACCACTCAACACCCCTCTGAACCGCTCGCCAGGTGGTGTTTGCCGATGGAACCTTTATCGATGGCAGCACCATTGAGCTCTGCTGTGGCGGCCCCCTCCGCCCGCCCTTGTACACACCCCTCATCACCCCTCACACCCCCCATCACCCCTCCCAAACCTCTCATCACCCTTCCCACACCCCCCCACACCACTCATCACCCCTCTGAGCCGCTCATCAGGTGGTCTTTGCAGACGGCACCTTCATTGACGGCAGCACAATCGAGCTCTCCTGTGATGGCCCCCTCCGCCAGCCCTTCGCAGTACGTGACTTTTGAGACGTCTCAACAATCAGCCTTCTGCCAGGTCATGAGTCGAGATGTGCCTTGCCTTGCTTTTTGGTGCTGTCAACATCGAGCGTTCTTTAGCATGCCGTTTTTAGATGTCTGGGCCTTTTTAGCTTACTTTACTACCGACAGCAATCAGCTATCTTTGTGTCAACTTCCTGCGTGACTTCAGAGCCCCGCATTTG